TGAGCTACATGAAACCCTGTGTCCAAAACAGGCAAAATAAAAGGCGTGGTGTGAGTCCTGCCATGCTCCACGCGGCCCCATCCTCTGGATAAATGCTATTGTAATGAGTCTATTCTCCTCTCCCGGCAAGGCATGACAGGGAGGGAGATTCCAGAGATTCCAGGAGCCGCTGTAGTGGTGGCAGAGATAGGATGACTTTTTGCCTCTATAGCCCTCAGAATCTTTTTTCTTTGTTTTTGTGTCCTGCCCCTTCCTCCCCCAGACAGGGTTTCTCAGTGTAGACCCAGATAATCTGGAACTCAGTCTGCAGACCAGGCTGGCCTCAAACTCGCAGAGATCCGCCTGCCTCTGCCTCCTGAGTGCAGGGATTTTACCTTTAGGTGAGCACCACCACCATCTGGCAGTGAGCAACCTGTCCACAGGTCACGTGAGTTCTGTTCCCATCCTCCAACGTGTTTTCCCACCTCTCCTCCTGCAGTTCCTACAAGTCAGCAGTACAAGGACTGCTGTCTTCAACAGATAGATTTGCTCACTAGTTACTGCCTGCCACCAGGTCACACCCACAGCTGAAACCGTTTCCACAGCCTTCTGTATCTACTGCATTTCCAAGTTAACAATTGGCCTAAACCAGGCGTATCCACCCTGACCTACTACTTATTAACACTGACCACAGCATTAACATTAACACAACAGATGGGATCTTACTCCCTGAGATTCTAACTTTGTAGAAACCAGTGCTGGCTGACAGGCCTGTGCAGCCACGGCTGGTGCTCTGGGGTGCTGGGGATGGACCTCTAGGGCTTCCTGCATGTTAGGGTGCTGCATGCTGCATGCTGGGGTGCTGGGGATGGACCTCTAGGCCTCCTGCATGCTAGGCAAGCTCTCACTCTAACAACTGAGCCCCTCCAACTCTTTGCCCTTTTAAAAAATGAATTTTTGCCAGGCGGTGGTGGCGCACGCCTTTAATCCCAGCACTCGGGAGGCAGAGGCAGGCAGATCTCTGTGAGTTCGAGGCCGGGCTGGACCGATAGCCTCCAAAACAATACAGAGAAACCCTGTCTCGTAAAAACCAAAAAAAGAATTTTCATCTGTGTGAGTCCATGAGTGCACGTGCCGTGTATGCATGAGGTCAGGGAACAGCCTGGAAGAGTCTGTTCTCTCCTTCCACCACGTGGGTCCTGGGAATCAAACTCAGGTTGTCAGGTCGTCAGGGTTGACAGCAAGAGCCTCTACCTGCCGAGCCAGCACACTGGTCCTTTCCTCATTTTTTGTTTTTGGTTTTGTTTGCTTGTTTTCTGTATAGCCCTGTCTATCCTGGAACTTCCTCTGTAAAATCAGGCTAGCCTTGAACTCAACTACCTTCCTCTGCAGCTCAAGTGCCGGGATTAAAGGAGTACACCGCCACCGCCTGGCCCATTTCTCCTTTTTAAGATTTTATGTGTATGTATATGTGTGCCTGAGTGTAGGTAACTGGACTATGTGTATGCAGGTGCCCTTGCAGGCCAGAAGAAACCATTGGATCTGGAACTGGAGCTATAGGGGTAAGCCACCCGTGCAGATGCTAGAAACCAGGTCATCTTCAAGAGCAGTAAATACTCTTAACCAAACCTCTAGCAGCCCCCCCAAAAAGTTTATTAGTTTTGTGTGCATGCGCTCGTGTGTGTGTGTGTGTGTGTGTGTGTGTCTGCGCGCGAGCACACTCGCGAGCTCACTCTGTGGAGTGTCATGGAGTGTGGGGCAAGGGTTCTGAGAATTGAACCAGGCTTGCATGGGAAACACTTTTACTCCCTGAGCAATCTCACTGCCCTGTTAACTTGAGACAGGGTCTCATGCTGTCCAGGCAGGCTGGCCTCAGTCTCACTTTGTACCCAAAGTGGGCCTTGAAATTCTGGTCTTCCCACTTTGCTGGGACCACAGGCACACACCACTGTTGCCTACTTGCTTTGCTTTTATTTTCTTTTTTAACACAGTATCTTTCTGTGGAGCCCATTCTTGCCTGGAGCCTCAGATCCTCCTGCCTCAGACCCCAGAGTGCTAGGATTACTATACACTATATGTTATATATATGGGATTACTACATACTATATATTACTATATACTGTTTACTATGCCACTATACCTAGCTACAAGGGCTTGTATTGCTTCAGCCAGGACAAACTAATTCCTTAACTTTCTCTAGCTAGAGAAACAGTTTTCATAGATTGAAAATGGCACCCCCAAACAGGAGAGCTGTATCCACTCAGGGAACCCACCCTACTGTGTCTACCCATGGATGTCACCCCTGGCTGCTTCCAGCCAGTCTACAATTAGAAAAGCATGAGAGAGATCAGTACAGTTCTTGCCTCATTCATATTCACCCCTGACACAACAAAGAGGAGACTGTACTACTGTGGGGTGGTGAGCTCAAGAGCCGGTGGCCTATGGCCCACAGAACAGATGGTAGAATTGTAAACTGTTCCCTATCAGAATCTCAATCTGCCCTAACCCTTATCAGATTGCTCTGGGGCAAATTCGGCGTTGCACCTGTTTATGTCGCTGCCCTGTCTAAGAGCAAGCTTTTGTAACTAACGGTGGGGGTCTCCACCACCTCTGCTTGGGCCTGTGTGCCCTAGGTGGTAATGGAAACCGAGATCTTTTGTAACAGCACTCTGCTGAGACCCAGCATGCCTGGTCCTGCCCATTTTTGCTCTGCTGAAAAGTGCAAGCCCACAAAGCAACATCTAGGAGAACTGCCAGGAAGCATTTACAACTGGGGAACAACAGCCTTGTTGTTTGGCAGCCCGAGTGACCGCTGCCAAGCATACTCCTCCATGCCTCTCCTCCAAAATCTGAGGTTTTTGCTGTTTTGTTTTCTGGGGTTTTTTTGGGGGGGGTTGTTTGTTTGGGTTTTTTGTTTCTTTTTTTTCCCCTTTGGTTTTTCAAGATAGGGTTTCTCTGTGTGCAGTCCTTGCTGTCTTGGAACTTGCTCTGTAAACCAGGTTGACCTTGAACTCACAGACATTCAACTGCCTGACTTCAGAGTGCTAAGATTAAAGGCTTAATTTTTTAATTTTTTGTTTTGTTTTGTTTGTTTGTTTGTTTTGTTGTTTATGGTCCTCCTACCTCAACCACTTCTGTTATTTTTTTTTTTAGACAGAGTTTCTTTGTGTAGCCTTGGCTGTCTTGGAACTCATTCTGCAGTCCAGGCTGGCCTCAAACCCGCCCCTGCCTCTGAGTACTGGGTTCACCACCACTGCCCAGCTGGCTTAGCCTGCTGAGTGCTCAAGTTTTCAGGAACCGTTCACCCTCAACTGATTTTGAAATTGGACACATTTGATCGATTTGGCTAAGTTATAAATGTTTCATATAATTTACACTAGTCAGACATTGGGCAGTAGAGGCAAGGGCTGGGGTAAAGGGCTTGCCTAGCATGAGTGAAGCCTTACATTCAGTCCTCAGCACCCAATAACTCAGGCCTGATGGTGCACACCTGTGACCCCAACACTAAGGAGCAGGAGTTCAATGTCATCCTCATGTATCTAGCTGAAATGGGTGAGACTCTGTCATTGCAAATAAAATAGCTGGGCAGTGGAGGTGCATGCCTTTAAGCACAGCATTCGGAAGGCAGAGACATGGATCTCTGTGAGTTCAAGGCCAGCCTGGTCTACAGAGAAAATTCCAGAAGTTACACAGAGGAAACCTGTCTTGAAAAAAAAAAGAAAGGGGGGGGGGAGAGGGAGGAAGAGAGGGAAGGGAGGGGAGGAGGGAAGGGAATAGGAAGAAAAGGAAAAAGGAGAGGAAAGGAAAAGCCCTGGGGTAGAAAGAGTACTTGAATGTTCAAATCCTTAGACTCCATCCCTAGTATCACTCAAACAAACACAATAAAACAAACAAACAAAAAACCCTATATGCCTTCCCTACTTAATGATCCAATAGTTGCTACCACATGTGCCTTCGGAACCCATGTCCTCCCCACACAGACAAAACTTTAAGCAAGGAGGGTAAACAATCTCATTTTTTAAAGCATTTTCTGAACTTTCCACTTTTTTGTTTGTTTGTTTTGCTTTTCGAGACAGGTTTTCTCTGTATTGTTTTGGAGGCTGTCCTGGAACTCACTGTAGACCAGGCTAGCCTCGAACTCACACAGATCCACCTGCCTCTGCCTCCAGAGTGCTGGGATTAAAGGGGTGTGCCACCAACACCCAGCTCATTTTTTTTTTTTTTTTTTTTTTTTGGTTTTTCGAGACAGGGTTTCTCTGTGGCTTTGGAGGCTGTCCTGGAACTCACTTTGTAGACCAGGCTGGCCTCGAACTCACATAGATCCGCCTGCCTCTGCCTCCCGAGTGCTGGGATTAAAGGCGTGAGCCACCAACGCCCGGCCCAGTACTTTTTTGTTGTTTTGGGTTTTCAAGACCAGGTTTCTCTGTGGCTTTGGAGGCTGTCCTGGAGCTAGCTCTTGTAGACCAAGCTGACCTCGAACTCACAGAGATCCACCTGCCTCTGCCTCCCGAGTGCTGGGGCTAAAGGCGTGCACTACTACCACCCAGGTAAACCAGTACTTTTATTTAAGCTTCCATTGTTACTTTTTTGGGGGGTGGGGTTTCAAGACAGGATTTCTTTGTAGCCTGGAACTCTCTCTGTAGACCAGGCTGACCTGGAACTCACAGCGATCCACCTACCTCTACCTCCTGAGTGCTGGGATTAAAGGTGTGTGCTCCAGGACAGTTATTAAAAAAAAAAAAAGGAGGAAAGAATATTGAATAGGCCTGTTCTGATATGCAAACATTTATTCTTTTAATTTTTTCCAAAGACAGGGTTTCTCTGTTGCTTTGGAACCTGTCCTAGAAATCAGTCTGTAGACCAGGCTGGCCTCAAACTCACAGAGATCTTCTTGTCTCTGTGTTCTGAGTGCTAGGATTAAAGGCGAGCGCCGCCACCACCACCACCACCACCTGGCTACAAACATTCTTTTTATACCAGAGAGAAACCCAATATTCACTAAGACTATTGAACCCATGTTGTAAGAGTAAAAGCATTTAATTTACTATGCACCTCAGAAAGCTCCAGGTAAGATACAGGTAGGAACATACACAAAGAATTCAGAATATAAAACTCTCCAGGTAATTAGTAGTCATATTAATATTGGAGCTACAGTAGAAAAATACTAGCTTATCTCCTGGACTGTCCCGAGAGCCTAACTGTAGCTTTGAGAAATTGGAGTTGTTCTGAGCGAGCATGAAGCTGACATCATTCTTCCAGGCCTCCCAGCAGCTCAACGAAGTCAGTGACGTACCACTTCGCGCTGCTCTTCACCTGATGCCTGATCACGTTCCCCCCAAATCCAATGAAAGCATCCTAAGGAGGAAAGGAGGGAGGGCATCAATGCCTTTTAAAACGGCACACCCGGAAGCATACATAAATAAATAGAAACTACATTTAAGTGAGAGACACCTAGATACTTTTGTTTTTGTTTTTGTTTTCAAGACAGGGTTTCTCTGTGACTTTGGAGGCTGTCCTGGAACTCGCTCTTGTAGACCAGGCTGGTCTCAAACTCACAGAGATCCGCCTGCCTCTGCCTCCCGAGTGCTGGGATTAAAGGCGTGTGCCACCACTGCCCAGCAAATGCTTTCTTTATAAGTTGCCTTGGTCATGGTGTCTCTTCACAGCAACAGAACGGTGACTAAGACACTTACTCACACATGCTCCTAGGCTAAATGTCTTTTAGTTGCTTTGTGTTCTTATCCATATTTACATTTAGCTGTTCTTGTTTAACTTCTGTTGTTAACCACACGGTTTTCAGCCAGACACAGAAAACAAAATTATCACCTGAAAGAAAACAACAAAAACCAAAAAACCCAGCGCCCCTGGATACGTACAGCAGGAGGGCAGGCTTCCATGTCCGTAGCTCCATCTCCAATCATGATTATTTTCTTAAAGTGAAATTTTTCCTTTAAAAACCCAATAACCTTTCCTTTCCCTCCTGACTCGGCTGTTGGCTGCGTCTCATCAAAACCTGCGTATTCACCTTAAGAGAACAGCGAGAAAAACATTAGGTTGACAGGAACATTTGACTTGGGGCAGCTTGTTTATACTGGTGACACACAAATTAAATATCAGTATCCAGTGTAAAACAGTCCTGGGTATGGTCACACAGCACGGGACCTGACCCATGTTCCTGAGGAGGTGACTCCAGTGGGTCACCTTGAGTGGAATTAGCTGCATCTTCTTCTTTTTTTTTTTTTTTTTTTGGTTTTTTCGAGACAGGGTTTCTCTGTGGCTTTGGAGGCTGTCCTGGAACTCACTTTGTAGACCAGGCTGGCCTCGAACTCACAGAGATCCGCCTGCCTCTGCCTCCCGAGTGCTGGGATTAAAGGCGTGTGCCACCAACGCCCAGCTAGCTGCATCTTCTAAGCTTTCAGTGTAGCGATTTTAAGCCTTGTTGAGATATCTGAGCACCATAATATAGCAATACATTAATTTGTCACATTAATATATTAGCATTACCTAAAGGAAACAACCAACTTACTCTTTTTTTTTTAAAGAGAGGATCGCATGTAGCGCAGGCTATCCTTGAACTTACTATGAATCCTAGGATGACCTTGAATGTCTGATTCTCCAGCGTCCACATCTGGAGCGCTGTGATTACAGGTGTGCATTCGCCCTCATACCTGGTGTGTGAAGAGCTACCTGGGGCTTCCTGCACGTTAGGCAAGTGCTCTACCAACTGAATCCCATCCCCAGTTCTGAATTTATCTCTGTTATTACAGAGACCAACACATTCATTAGTGGGCCATGGGACTGACTTGGTGTGTTTGAGGCTGGGTGTCACTTTGTAGCTCGGTCTGGTATAGAACTTGAGATAATACTCCCACCTCAGCCTCCCAAGTGCTAAGAGAGAGTCCCCAGGCCTGGTTCACTCATTTGTCTTTTGTTTGTTGGCTTTAGTTTGTTTTTATTTCTAAAGATGGAGCCTAAGTAGCCAAAAACTCACCTCTAATTCCTAATCTCCTGCCTCTGGTTTCCAAATACTGGGATTACATAGGCATTCCCTGTTAGGGGAGTGCCTGAAGAACTCTGTAGCTGCTTTGATTCTGGAGTGTTAGCACCTGGCTTTGGTCTGCCTTTGTGTCCCATGCCTGCTGTCTGAAGTATGTCTTTCTCGTTTGTTTGTTTGTTTGTTTTTTTCAAGACAGGGTTTCTCTGTGTAGCTTTGGAGCCTGTCCTGGCACTCGCTCTGTAGACCAGGCTGGCCTCGAACTCACAGAGATCCACCTGCCTCTGCCTCCTGAGTGCTGGGATTAGAGGCCTGTGCCACCAACGCCCTGGCTGAAGTATGTACATCTTATAGGAGAGTTTCCTAACTGTTCAAAGCCTATGCAAAACTTGGTTACAGGAGGACTCAGCAAAATGAGATGTCCTGTGGCTTGGAATTGCTCTGGCATGTGTGTCTCTTCAGGAGCTTCTAATAAGAGGTTTTGGTATATGGAACTGGACTTGCTAAAGGGTGTAAAATTGCGTAACAATAAAAGAGCCCTTGGCTAAACTACAGGAGTCAGTCAGTTCACCAGAGGCTGGCTACCCTGTGACCACAGAAGGAGAGAATTCATCCTAGAGTGCCTCTGTTTCTTCTTTCCACAGACCTGGGCCCATGTGAACCCAACACCCAACACAATTCCCTTCCCCAGCTTCATACTTTCTCCTCCAAGACAGGGTTTCTCTGTGTAGGCCTGGTTGTCCAGGAACTCAGTCTGCAGACCAGGCTGGTCCAACTCAAAGATTCACCTGCCTCTGCCCCCGCCCCCGCCCCTGTGGTTGAAAGGCATGCACCACCACAGCCCGGGTAACTTGATGTTTCTAAATCAGTGGGATGGGGACATCCATGCTATGGCAGCTGTGTGGAGCACAACGGACAACTTTGTGGAGTCGGTCCTCTCCTCCCATCTTTATGTGTGTCCCAGGGACTGAATGCAAGTCCGGCTTCTTTGGCAAGCACCTTTCACCTGCCCAGCCATCTCCCTGGCACTCCCTTGATTTTAAGACTACCGGAAAAAAGAAAAAAAAAATCCAGCCGGGCTTTGGTGGCGCTTGCGTAATCCCAGCACTCGGGAGGCAGAGGCAGGCGGATCTCTGAGAGTTCGAGGCCAGCCTGGTCTACAGAGCGAGTTCCAGGACAGCCTCAAAAAAAAACCAAACAAAAACAACAACAAAACAGACTACCAGTTACCCTATGACGTTAACTAGAGAGCTTTTTTTTTTAAACTGGGTTTCATATAGCCCAGGCTATCCCAGAGCATACTGTGTATCCTAAAATGACCCTGAATCCCTGATCTTCCTACTTTCACCTGGGAGTAAGTACAGGTGGGAACCAACCTGCCTGGTTTAAGTTCCAACACAGTGCTAGGCAGGCTGGGCAAACACTTAACCACCCCAGCTCAACTCTTTGCTGTTTACTTTATTTATTCATTTATTTATTTATTTATTAGGATTTATTGTGAGTGGGGGAGCGTACACGTGGTGCAGGTGTGTGGAATCCAGACTGTTATGAGTTGCCAACCGGTACTCTGCTGGGAACAAACTCGGGTCCTCCCAATGACAGCCTGTACCTAACTGCTGAGCTGTCTCTCATTCTGTTTTCAGAGACAACAGATTTGTTCTGTAGCCCAACTGGACTTGAAATACTCCTGCCTCAGCACCTCAAGAGCCCAGAATAACTGGAACCCTCTTGAGACTGTAAAATGTAGCTGTGACCCCAGGCCTCACAAGGGCAATGGTAACATAGCAACTCATTAACTAAACTCCTTCTTGGGTCTAAATTGCTCCAGATACAGTAAAACAAACAACCAACCCTGAAACTGTAACATCACAAAATAAAGCGGCAGACTAACACTTGAGTTTTTATGCAAATGGGTAGTAATATGGACGTGCAAAATTAAGCCAGGACACATGACAACCTCAACCTGTTTTGCAGAGCAAAGAACACCAAAGTGCCGAGGCTATCAGTCAAAAGAGCCATCCATACGAGGCTGAAGAGATGGCTCAGCAGGTCAGAGTGCAAAACTGCTCTTGCCGTGGACCTGAGTTCAATTCGCAGTACCCGAGTCAGGTGCCTTTGCAACAGCCTGTAACTCCAGCTGCAGGAGAGCTGATACTCTCTTCCACCTCTGGGGGGCGCTGGTGTGTGACCCGCGCCCACACACATACTTTTTTTTTGGTTTTTCGAGACAGGGTTTCTCTGTGTTGTTTTGGAGGCTGTCCTGGAACTCACTCTGTAGACCAGGCTGGCCTCGAACTCACAGAGATCCGCCTGCCTCTGCCTCCCGAGTGCTGGGATTAAAGGCGTGCGCCACCAACGCCCGGCCTCACACATATACTTTTGTTAGGATTTATTTACTTGTGTTATGTTTGTGGGTGTTTGCCTGCGTGCTTGTTTGTGTACCACGTGAGCACCTGGTGCCCTCAAGGCCAGAAGAGGGAGTCGGATACCCTGGAACTGAAGTTACATAGCTGTAGGTTGTCCAGTGTTGGTGCTAGAAACAGAAACCCACCCTCTGGAAAAGTGGCTAGTGCTCCTAACCCCTAAACCACCTCTCCAGCCCCCCATAAAATGTTTTTAAAAGAGTAATTCATGTACCTGTTAACCCGAGTCACCACATTCCAACAGACACTATCTAGAATATTTAAATAATAGAACGAATAAGAAAGGGAATATACTACCATTAAAATCTTACCATTAGCCAGGTGGTTAAAAAAAATCTTACCATTAAAGTAGAATTTCAGCCTATTGGCAAACACGTTGGTCGCTGGGATGTTGAGCTTAGCAGCCACATGCTCCACAATGCTCCTAAAGCCACCAGATATGAGGAACACCTGAACATTTCGCTCCTGTAGGCGACTTACCAGCTCTCTACAAAAATAAACGGAGGATACAAAACATTGATTAACACAAAAAGGAAACATGAAAAAGATGCTTTTTTATTTCCTCTTGAATCCAGTGCTGGAAGTCCATCTGTAAGGATTAACATTACATGTTTTTCCTTTTTTTTATTTTGGGGGGTGTCAGTGGTGCTGGTGAGGCATTGTTCATTTGGGGTGTTTAAATAAAGTCACTTTATTGAACTTCCGTCTAGTGGAGTGGCCATTGGGGTGTGTGTGTGTAAATAACGTTACTTTACTGAACTGCCGTCCAGTGAGAGTGGCCACTCTGAAGCCACGAGCCTTTTCTACTTAGGGGTTTCACTTTCACTATCAATTACATTTTCATTCATGTTTCCACTTTCATTGTGAGACTGTTGCTGTTGTTTTGTCTTCTTCTTTGTTCTTTGCTTGTTTATTTGTTGTCTGTTGTTGATTTTAAGACAAACTCTTGCTGTGGAGCCAGACTGGCTTTGAACTCACAACAGCAATCCTACCCCAGCCACCTCTCTGTGCTAGCGTATCAGATGTGAACCAACACCTGGGCTTGGCTTTTTTTTGTTTGTCTCGCTGACTGATTTTGAGATAGGATCTCAAGTGTCTGTGGATTATTTTGAACTTCTGATCATCTGTCCCTACCTCCCATGAGCTAGGATTACAAGTGTATGCTACACAGACTCCCAGCTCTCTCTCTCTCTCTCTCTCTCTCTCTCTCTCTCTCTCTCTCTCTCTCTCTCTCTCTCTCTCTCTCTCTCTCTCTCTCTCTCTCTCTGTGTGTGTGTGTGTGTGTGTGTGTGTATGTGTGTGTGTGTGTGTTCTGAGACAAAGTCTCACTAAGTAGCCCAGGTTGGTCTTTTTTTTTTGGTTTTTTTTTTTTTTTTTTTTTTGGTTTTTCGAGACAGGGTTTCTCTGTGGCTTTGGAGGCTGTCCTGGAACTCACTTTGTAGACCAGGCTGGCCTCGAACTCACAGAGATCCGCCTGCCTCTGCCTCCCGAGTGCTGGGATTAAAGGTGTGCGCCACCAACGCCCGGCGCCCAGGTTGGTCTTGATTTCAGGATCCTCCTCTGTCTTGGCTTCCCGAGTACTAGAATTACAAATGTGCACCACCGCTCCCAGCGTTGTATGCGCTTTTGCAGGTGTACTTAGAAAATAAAGGGCGTAGCTTTTCTGCTTCGGGAAACCATTGCACTAATGCTAAGATAAGGAACCCTGTAGAAGCCTCTGAAAGCATGAGGACATGAGCGAGACCAGAGAGCAACGTAAGAGCAGATGTAAGGACCAAGGGAGCTCCGCAGTAACAGACTCTCAGGAGAGTGTCACGAGTCCCCAAGCTGATAGGAAGACACTGTGCCAAGGGCCAAGGCTGTGCTTACCTTATGCCAGGGGTCAGGTGAGGGGGGTGCTCCGCTAGGAGCCTCTGCACCTGCTCCCTGGAGGGCTGGATCAGTGCCAGGCGTTCAGTGAGCGCATCTCTGAAAGGCAATGCCCCTCCCATGGCTCTCCGTGTCCTAGGAGGAAGACCCAACCAATGATCAGGCCAGCTGGCATAGCTGTCTTTGAAGTCAACATGCCTTCCTACGCCAGGACTTCACGATAACCATCAGGAAGAAGGTGGTTCCATGAGCCCAGTTCTACAACAGGCATGCTGCGTACTACGTACGGGAGGTCTGCTTGGGAATCACACTGAGATTCTGATGCCGTGTACTATGCATCCACAGATGAGTCAGAAACCCACACATCCCACACACAGGCATCTTGCTTGCAAAGCTTTACCTAGGAAGAAACCAAAGGCTGAAAGCTCCTGTATCAGTTGCAGCTGAGCGAGTGACAGCCATAGCTCGGGAAGGTGTCCCTGTTACAGAGTGGGGAGGACAGAAAGTTCTGGCCTGGGATCTCTCTCCACTGAAGCAGGAGGGCTGTACTTTCAACCATGACAGGAGCCACCGAATGTTTAGAGCCCTAGGCTATCTTCTTGGATTAATCATTTTCCCAGCCTGCCTAAGAATGCGTCCCATCTGCAGAGACAGCCATGTTTTGCTGTCTCTGTTTTTGCTGCAATATTTGCAGATGGATAAATGAAGACAGCACTCTACCACATTCAGTTGTAGGCAATGAGAGGAAATACCTAGTGCTTTCTTAGCACTGGGCCAAAAACAAAACCTAGGAACTGAGACCCTAACCTAGCTTTTCAGCCAGTCTTTTGTTTGTTTTGTTTTGGTTTAGTTTTTTGAGACAGGGTTTCTCTGTGTAACAGCCCTGGCTCTTCTGGAACTCCCTTTGTAAACCAGGCTGGCCTCAGACTCAAGAGATCCACCCGCCTTGTGCTGGGATTAAAGACATGTACTACCACGCCCAGTTGGTCATTCTTTTTTTAAACACGGTAACTTCTGGCGGGGTGGTGGTGGTGCATGCCTTTAATCCCAGCTCTTGGAAGGCAGAGGCGGGTGGATCACTGTGAGTTCCAGGCCAGCCTGGTCTACAGAGTGAGTTCCAGGACAGCCTCCAAAACAATACAGAGAAACCCTGTCTGGAAAAACAAACAACAAAACATGGCGATTTCTTCAGCAAGTCATAAAGGGAATATAGACAGTTCATACATCTCAGACACAGCAGCCTCCACACCGCAGAATTTGGCCAGCTCATCAATCCCTTCTTCTTGGATGACTGTGCTGTCAACATCAAAACACACTGCATCAGCTGAACAGAGGAGTTCCCTCAGCTCTGAGTGGGAGACCATCCTGGGAAGAACTTTCCTCCTAAAACAAAAAAAGCGAAATGTGCTTAAAGACGTCAGATTAAACCACGGGGGATAGGGAGGTGGCTCAGGGGTAGAGTGTTTGGCCAGCATTCGTGAAGCTGAGTTTCACACACCCCATCCCCCACACCACCTAAATCAGGTGCAGTGGTGTATGCCTGGGATCCCAGCTCTTAGCAGGTGGAGCAGGAGGATCAAGAGGTTAAGACTGGGCTGAAGAGATGCTTCAGTGGTTAAGAGTGCTGGTTGCGCCAGGTGTTTAATCCCAGCACTCGGGAGGCAGAGGCAGGCGGATCTCTGTGAGTTCGAGGCCAGCCTGGTCTACAAAGTGAGTTCCAGGACAGGCTCAAAAACAACACAGAGAAAACCTGCCTCGAAACCCCCCCCCCAAAAAAAGAGTGCTCGTTGTTATTTCAAATGCCCAAATTCAGCTCACAACTACATGTAACTCCAACTCCAGGAAACTTCTCTGGCACATGCAAGAGCACACACACAGATACTTAAACAAAAATAGCAATAATTTTTTTAAAAGAGAGAGTTAGCCGGGCGTTGGTGGCGCACACCTTTAATCCCAGCACTCGGGAGGCAGAAGCAGGCGGATCTCTGTGAGTTCGAGGCCAGCCTGATCTACAAAAACTTATTCCAGGACAGCCTCCAAAACAATACAGAGAAACCCTGTCTCCAAAAACCAAAAAAAAAAAAAAAAAACCAAAGCAAAAAAAAAAAAAAAAAAAAAAAAAGAGAGAGAGAGAGAGAGTTACTGGTGGCATATGCCTTTAATCCCAGCATTTGGGAGGCAGAGGAATCTCTGTGAGTTCGAGGCCAGCCTGACCAGAGTGAGTTCCAGATCAGCCAGGGTTACACAGAGAAACCCTGTCTGGAAAAATCAAAACATAGAAAGAGAGTGAGAGAGAGAGTTAGTTTAAGATCATCCTTAGCAGACTAGAGAGATGGTTCAGAGGTTAAGAGCACTGGGTACTCTTCTAGAGGTCATGAGTTCAATTCCCAGCACCCACAAGTAGCTCACAACCACCTGTAATGAGATCTGGTGTCCTCTTCCGGACATCAGGGATACATGCAGGCAGAACACTGCATTCATAATAAGTAAAAAAAGACCATCCTTAGCTACATAGCAAGTTTGTTTGAGGCCAGTCTGGGTGACATAAGACACTAGCTCAACGGTACAGACACTTGCTGCCAAACCTCAATCCCCGGAATGCCACATGGTGGAAGCAAAGAGAGGAATCACGAAAAGTTGTCCTCTGATCTCTGACCTCTGTGCTCATACTGTGGGGCACATGCCTCCCCACTCACACACAACCACGCGTTTGTTCGTTTTGTTTTGTTTTTCCGGGATGTTCATGCAGTGTTAAAATTGCCAAAACTTGGAAACAACTGAAATGTCCTACAGTCAATTAATGAATAGATAAATGATGTTCATGCAGCAAGAGAGTATCATTCCACAGCAAAAGGGATGGAATTTCAAGCCAAGAGGAAGGGAAAGGCTCATCAGGAAAGGCTCCAAACTGTGTGCTTCTAACCTGGGCACGGTGGATGCGGCAGAGCTTTGCACGAAGCAGAAAGGTCAGTTTCGGCCAAGGGTCACGGGTGAGGGGTGAAGAGGTGGGGTGCTGGGGTTTCTACACTTATTTTCACTACGTGTGCATGGACCTTTTGAACAACCTGTTTCTTCAAGACGAGAAAGGAAGCTTGTTCCATGAATATATCATGTGATTCACCTGAGCAGGGCAATGAGACACAGGTTGAGGGAAAGCTAGCCAGGAAGGCACATTATGTAAGAGCTGAAATGAGATCATGGCTGAGATAACTGAAGTCACCCAGAGACCCAGAACTAGCAAAAACACGAATCCAGGTCGGGCACCTGGCATGGAACCTGACAGGAAACAAAGAATGTCCTTAAGAGCCCCGGGGATTTCAGAGATGCTGGGCATGGGGGGTGCACATTTGTGCAAGCCATCTCAGCACTGGGGGGGGGGGAGAGGATTGTCAGGGGTTAAAGGTCATCCTTGGTAATATAGTGAGTTTGAGTAACAAGGTTTAGGCAAGCCTGGGCTGGAGATCCTATCTCTACATAAATAGATACACGGGTATGGGTGGTGATGCGCACCAAGGAGCCTGAGGCAGGAGGATCATGAGCACAGTGCTAGGCTGGCGTTACATAGCGAGACCAGTCTGAAAAAGAAAACCCTTGGCTATAGGGGAAAACTAAGTTCAGTTGCTTCAAAGTAAATTGCATACATTAGACTTTCAGAGAAAAAGAAAAATCACTTCGGGGGGGAAACAGACTCTGGAACCTTCCATGTGGCTTTTGGCGGGAGGGAAGCCCACAGATGAGGAGTGGAGAGAGTGTTGGAAGAAAGGTCTGTGTTCAGACACAGGCCCAGGCCCACACACTGCCTTCTGCGGTGCAGATGGGGGCTCCAGCTTGGCAAAGGATCCACCGAACTTCATCCTTTAAAAATTGTGCTGCAAAAGCCGGGCGTTGGTGGCGCACGCCTTTAATCCCAGCACTCGGGAGGCAAAGGCAGGCGGATCTCTGTGAGTTCGAGGCCAGCCTGGTCTACAGAGCTAGTTCCAGGACAGTCTCCAAAAACAATACAGAGAAACCCTGTCTCGAAAAAAAACCAAAAAAAAAAAAAATTGTGCTGCAAGCCCTTCTTCATGGGAGCACCAAGTGAAAACAGGGGTTTTCTTTCGTGGCTGGATTTAGGAGGCCACAGGGGTAAGCGGGGAAAAAAATCTCCTTGCTCAAACAGATCGAAGTTTTTCCATCCAATATCTTGCAAGAGGCACCTAAGATTGTTAGCTCTCTCACCATTTGTTATGAGATACCTCTTATCTTCTAAGCTGTGTCAAAAACAGATAAAAGCAGGTGTGCTGGTTCTGTCTAAGTTCCCAGCGCATGGAGAGTGGAATCAAAAAGATTAGGAGTTCAGGGCCAAGGGAGGAAGAGACCCTGCTTCTAAATAAAGGACGGTTAAGGTCAGCACAGGGAGGCTGGAGAGATGGCTCCCGGGTTAAGAGCACTGGTGCTCTTGCAGAGGAACCGGGTCCAGTTCTCGGCACTCACGGCAGTGCCACAGCGCCTGTGACTCCAGTCCCAGGGAATCCAGTGCTTTCCTCTGCACGCACGAGTACATATGTGGTACACATACTTAAAAGAAAAATAAATGAATGTTTAAAGTGGCCACAGAGGTTAAGCACACTGGAGAGAATCAAATTTACTAGGCTCTGGTGGCGGGTAAAACATACTAAGGGCAAAGCCATTCAGGACCCCTGGACAGTGCAAAATAGATTCTCGGAAACTTCTAGATCCAAGTCAAATCAAAGACCTTCTCTGGAGTAGGGGGAAGGGTATAGGCCAGCATATATTTCTTTTCTTTCTTCCTTTTAATTTTTGTTGTTGTTTTGTTGTAGAAGGATTTGCCAGGTAGCCCAGGCTGGTATAGAACTCCCCATGTAGCCCAGGCTATGCCAAACACAAGACCTTCATGCCTCATTAAAGTGCTACAATTACAGGCACATGGCACTACACCTGACTACTAACATTTTATGATTAAAGAAACAGTGATTCTGGGTGAATGAGATAGCTCAGTATAGGCACAGCATTGGAGTCTGCTGTCAAGCCTGGTGACCTGAGTTCTGTCCCTAGGACCCACATAATGGAGAAAGAGAACTGACTCTTGGATATTGTGCTCTGATTTCACATGTACCAGGGCACCCGCGCACAAATCAGCATACACAACAAGCAAACTAGTAAGTAAATAAATGTAAAAAAAATTAGATAAATAAAAATGTTTAAAAGAAAAAAACAGGCTGTAGAGATGTCTCAGTGGTTAGAAGTGTGCGAGCACGCGTGCACGGGCACACATACACACACATACTTAAAAACGTAATAGTGAATTTTAAAAAGAAGCAGGGAGGAGCCGGGCATTGGTGGCGCACGCCTTTAATCCCAGCACTCGGGAGGCAGAGGCAGGCGGATCTCTGTGAGTTCGAGGCCAGCCTGGTCTACAAAGTGAGTTCCAGGACAGTCTCCAAAACAATACAGAGAAACCCTGTCTCGAAGAAAAAAAAAAAAAAAGCAGGGAGCTGGGGAAATGGCTCAGCAGTTAAGAGCACTAATTGCTCTTGCAGGGGACCAGGGTTCAGTTCCCAGAATGTGCTAGGTAACTCACAACTATCCGTAACTCTTAGTTCCAGGGGAATTCGACGCCCTCTTCTGACTTCAGTGGGCACTGAATGCAAGCTGTGCACATACATACAGGCAGGCAAAACACTCATACACAAGAATCTTCAATATCTTTCTTTTCCTTTGGCTTTTTGAGACATTGTCTCTCGATATAGCTCTGATGGTCCTGGAACTCATGAGAGACCTTCCTGCCTCCCAACTACTGGGATTAATGCTGTGTGCCACCATGAAGGCAAAATAAATAAATCATTTTTTAAGAAAAAAAAGCTAGCTATTGAAGCTGGGCATGGTAATGTTCATGTCATGACTCAGGAGGCTGTGGCAGGAGGGTTACTGCACGTTACAGACCAATCTGGGATACAAAATGAGTTCTTGCAAAAACAACAACAACAAAAAAGTACTTTTAGGGGGCTGGACAGATGGTTCACCAGGTAAGAGCACTAGCTGCTCTTCCAGGGAACTTCATTTTGCTGCCAGCACCTATCTGGTGGCTCATAACCAACCTGTACCTCCAGGTCCAGAGAATCTGATACCCTCTTCTGACCTCCTCAGGTACTAGCATGTAAGTGGTACACAGATAGCAAGTGGTAAAAACACCCATAGACATGTAACAAGAATTTAATGTAGTTAAAAAAAAAGAAATAGATAACCACCTTGTAACCATAAGTGGCAGGCATCTATCATGTTGTTGTAGACGATGCTTCTTTTTCTTCTTCTCTGCCTCCATCTTTTTTTTCTTTCTTTCTTTTTTTTTTTTTTTTTTTTTTTTTTTTTTGGTTTTTCGAGACAGGGTTTCTCTGTATTGTTTTTGGAGACTGTCCTGGAACTAGCTCTGTAGACCAGGCTGGCCTCGAACTCACTGAGATTCGCCTGCCTCTGCCTCCCGAGTGCTGGGATTAAAGGCATGTGCCACCACCGCCCAGCTGCCTCCATCTTTTTAAAGACAGGCTCTCCGGTGTCCTATCTACCCTGGCATCACACCAGCTATGTAGCCAAGGATAACCTTGAACTCCTGATCCTCCCATCTCCATCTCTCCAGAGTGCTGAAATGCCAGGCACAAACACTACACCCACTTTATCTGGTGGAACCCAGGGCTTTGAGTATGATAAGCTTGGGCTCTACCCACTAAGCCACATCCTCAAACCAACAGATGCTACTTTTCCCTCCAGGAGGTTGCTCATAGGCAAGCCTAGTGACCCAATGCATGGAGATGTCCAGTACTCACGATTCTCCAGACTGGGTTCCTGGTGACAGTGTCTTTCTCTTTCCCCTCACTTTGTTGGTTAAAAATGCACTGTAACCTCAGGTTTGAGTTTTTTGGGTTTTTTTTTTTAAAGAAATATCTGTTGATTTTGCAAGAGCCTAAAAAACAGAAAAATGAGAAAGTGAACAACCAGGAACAGACTCATGGCAAAGAAGGAGGTAGAGGGACTGGGGATTGTGGCTCAGTTGGTAAAGCGCTTGCCTGGCGGGCAGCAAGTCCAGCTTTCCGCCCACCCGCATTGCGAAAACCAGAACTGATGGCTTACACCTGTAACTCCAGCACTCAAGGGGCAGAATCAGTCCAAAGGATCAGAAGTTCAAGGTTATCTTAGGTTACACAGGGAATTAGAGGTTCAAGAAGCAGAGGGGTGGGAGGTGAGAAGACTAATTGACCTCTCAGTAAGATTGTTGTATCAATGGTTGAAACCCAAAGTTTCCTGAAACTGCTTCCCCTGGGAGATGCTGGAGCGGAGAAGAGAAGTAGCTACAGCCCTGTCTGTGCCTTCCACTCTGCCACTTCCAGGAAGTTACCACACCTCAGAGCACTAAGAGAGCCTACTGGGAGAGCAATGTGCAAATACGGAATGAAGAGACTTGAGCATGGGCTAGACCCAACAGTCCCTGCTGTGAGTGTGTGTGTGAATGCGTGTGTGGTGCCTCGTGCCTGTAATTTCAACATTTGAGAGGCTAAGGAAGCCTGAAGCAGGAACATCACTTGGGGTTTTATCTCAAACACACACACACACACACACACACACACACACACACACACACTTTGAATGTAAAGTGTAGTAGAAGAAGGTACTAAATCTCAGGAGAAAAAGGAGATAAGCAGGAACAGTTAATAACTAGAGCCAAGGGGGCTGGAGAGGTGGCTCAGAGGTTTAGAACACTGGGTGGTCTTCCAGAGGTCTTGAGTTCAATTCCCAGCAACCATATGGTGGCTCATAACCATCTGTAAGGAGATGTGGTGCCCTCTTCTGGCATGTAGGCATACAAGCAGGCAGAATGCTGTATATAAATAAATCTTATTTAAAAAGAAAGAGAGAGAGAGAGAGAAGAACTAGAGCCAAAAGCCAGACCTGGTGGTGTTGGCCATAATCCTAGTACTGGGGAAGCTAAGGCAGGAGGATCACTGTAGGTTCACACCAGCCTGGGTTACATAAGGAATTTTCAAGTTTCAGGCTAACCTGGACTAGAGACACTCTGTCTCAAAATAAAAAATTTTTTTTGGTTTTTCGAGACAGGGTTTCTCTGTATTGTTTTGGAGGCTGTCCTGGAACTCACTCTGTAGACCAGGCTGGCCTCGAACTCACAGAGATCCGCCTGCCTCTGCCTCCCGAGTGCTGGGATTAAAGGCGTGCGCCACCAACGCCCGGCAATAAATTTTTTTTAAAAAAGGAAAGCAAGAAAAGAAAAAAAATGGACTACACCCTTGTATTGTTTGTAATCTAACAAATAAAGCTTGCCTGAAGAGCTAAGCCACTAGTTAACCACACATCTAGCTAAGAGCTAAGCCACATCTAGCTAAGAGGACAGGCAGTGGTGGACACATGTGTAATCCCAGCACTCAGGAGACAGAGGCAGATGGATCTCTGTAAATACAAGGCCACCCTGGGCTATATGAGAGTGAATCAGTCCTAAAGAGAAATAGAGCTCATGCCTTTAATCCCAGCACTGGAGTAACTATAAGGCGGGATCAGTGCAGTCTCAGGGATCAGGCTGAGATTTTTGTTGGAGAGCATTGCAGTCTAGGCAGTCTAAGGAGCAGCGTAGTCTGGAGATGCAATCTGAGGACACAATCGCCCCTTTGGACTGAGTATTGGTAGAGGTGAGAACTCTCTAGTAGCTGGCCACTTTGCTTCTCTGGTTTTCAACTTTAACCCCAATATCTGTCTCTGGGCTTTTATTATTTATGCTACACACCCTTCAAAAAGGAAGCTATGTGAATAAACTTGTTAAAGAATAAGTAAAGTTTTTGTGAAGATAAAAGTACCCAGGACATGGCCCAGAGGGAACTCTCATACACTCCTGGGGGTGGGGGAGGGGGACAAAGTTCTTGTAGGTTAAAGATAGATTTACAAGCCCCAGCAGTTCCGCTCTTAAAGAGTCATACAAGAAAAAGAAAAGTCGATGGAAGGGAAACATGCTCATGGTTTATTTGTGGGTGATTGCCCAAATGTCCTCCAGCTTGGGTAATGGAAGCATAAGCATCAGGAGTTCAAGGCCAGCCTATGCTAACACACACACACACACACACACACACACACACACGCGCGCGCGAGAGAGAGAGAGAGAGAGTAAATATAATATGCAAGATTCATATATAGAAAATACAATCAACATTGGAGAGATTGCTCAATGGTTAAGAGTACTTGCTGTTCCTGCAGAGAATAGGAGTTTGGTTTCCAGCACTTACATGGGTCACAGGGGTCGGTCCACAACCTTCTGTAACTCCAGCTCCCGGGGATCTGACACCTTTGGCCTTTGAAGGTACACACACACACATACACACACACTTAAAGAAAGTGAACAAATTAAATGAATGATTTAACACCCAAATAAAAGCTATTCCTTTATAATGGAATTTCAAATTCTATTTCTAATGGAAATAATGGCAAAGTCAAGACACTTCAGATCCCAGTTTGAAGTATTTTCCTATCTTCTACAGATGATTCTCCTGTGCCAGATTGCATCATTCATTCATGCTGTTTGTCTTGGAGAATGAAAAAAAGCGACGCTATCTAAAATATGAACTAACTGATTGAAAGTCTTGGAGTCCCATGAGATAATCTTCCTATCCGGCGAAGAATCGGAGAAGCCATAGCTGTGGGAAAGCGAGGACCGGTGCATCAGAAAGCTGAGCACCGGGCAAGACAGGCACGAGCGGGGAACTCACCGCGGTTCCTGGGCCGCGCTGGTCTTCACGGTTCCTGTGCCTGTAACTTTCCGGTAGCAGCAGGGTCTGGAGCTGCTGTGACGTGCGAGCGTTGCGTTCTAAGGGAAGTGATCGGTGCAGGAGATCACAGCCCTCACCCAAGTCTCCTGATGAGTCCGATGGCTTGGGAACAGCTTCGCATGTGCGTTTCCAACTGGAGACCGCAGATCTCAGCTCTGCAAAACCCGGTTGGAAGGCCGCCTTGGTCCAACCCCCAGGGGAGGGGCTTCCCGGTCCCGCCCCCCACCCCTTCCCTTCTTAGGGGCTCCGCGCTTACAGAGCCGCCGGAGAGATCTCTGTGACATCTAGTTTACGGAGTTGGCTAGAAAGAGCTCCCCGACTTTCAGAAGCCATGCCCCAGTACGGGTTCCCTGCACGCGAAAGAATCGAGGGACCTCTGAGCTGATTTCAAAATGCACGAAGCCCCTTTGTGAGCCCATTCTGAAACCCCCGTTTCCTACGCTGTCCCTGCAGAAATGCAGGTGCCTGGAGAATTACAAAATCTACAGAGTCGCTGTCAAAGTAACTCAGTTGACAGAGTGTTTCCCTGGCGTTCAAGAATTGGGTTCCATCCTAGCGCAACATAACCCCCACAGTGGTATATGCCTGAAATCCCAGCACTCAGGAGCTGGAGATCGCAGAATCAGAAGTTTAAAGTCATCCTGACAAATAATGAACTTGAGACAAGCCTGAACCACAGGAGAGTCCTTGTCTAAAAATAAAAATACTTTGTTCACACTTAAAGTGAAAAATAAAAAAAGTCACAAATCTTTGCTGGAGTGGAGAAAGGCCCAAAAGTTATTTATTGTTATTATTGCTTTTGCAGAAGATCCAGGTTTGGGTCTCAGCGCCTCCATCAGGTGTCTTGCAATCAGATCAGTTCCAGGAGATCCAATGCCTGCTGGCCTCTGAGAGCACCAGCACACATGCAGGTACATACTTACATATGAATAAAAATAAAAGAACTTATTTCGAATTATTTGTTTATTTAATATATATGGGTGTTTCCTCTGCTTGTAAGTCTGGCACTTCGTGTATGCATGGTACCTGCCGAGCCCAAAGGGGGGAATCTGATCCTCTGGAGCGGGAATTATAGGAGGTTGTGAGCTGCCATGTGGATGCTGGGAATCAAACCCTGCAAGAGCAGCCGCCACTCTAAACCGATGAACCATCTCTCCAACTCCTACTTTTTAAAATCTATGCAATTTCCCCCTCACGTGTATACTTGTATGGCATGCTTGCCTGCTTTCTTGTGTGTGATTGCATGTGTACATGGAGACCCACGTTTGGTAGCAGGTATCTTCCTCATTTGCTTTCCATCGTATTATTTAAGGTAGGATCTCCCCACTCAGCTCGGAGTTGGTACATAAAGCTATTCTACCTGGGGCCAGAGAGATGGTTCAATGGGATGGCTCAATGGTTAGGAGCACTGGCTGCTCTTCCAGAGGTCCTGAGTTCAATTCCCAACAACCACATGATGTCTCACAACCACCTGTAATGAGATCTGATGCCCTCTTCTGGCCTGCAGATATACATGCAGAACACCCATACATAAATTATACATTTAAACACACAAAAAAAATATTCTACCTAGCTAGCTTGAGGATCACATTGCTGCCTTCCCAGTGTTGGAATTTCAAACAGGCCTTCATTTCCACCCCATATTCATGTGAGTTCCATGAATCTTAACTCTCAAACCATGGGCAAGGGCTTTGACCACTGAGATAACTTCTTAGCCCATATACCTGTGTGTTCGATGTGTCCATTTGGTTGGTTTGGGGTTTTGTTTCTTGGATTGTGTGTGCGTGCGTGCGCGTGCATGCGTGCGTGCGTGTTTTGTTTCTTGGGATTTTGTGTGCATGAGTGCATGTGTGTACTTGGAATTGTGAACCTAGGACTTTACACACACTAGTCAAATGTTCTACTAGTGAGCATTCTAGCCTTAAGTAGCCCTCTTTTTTTTTTTTTTTTTTTTTTTTTTTTTTTTGGTTTTTTGAGACAGGGTTTCTCTGTGACTTCCTGGAAGTCACTCTTGTAGACCAGGCTGGTCTCAAACTCACAGAGATCTGCCTGTCTCTGTCTCAAAAAGTGCTGGGATTAAAGGCGTGTGCCACCATCGCCTGGCTAAGTAGCCCTCTTTTTTTTATGAGACAGGGCTTCTCTGTATTGTTTTGGAGGCTGTTGGTCCAGCCCGAGTAGTTTTCTTTTTAATTCATAATTTGAAAATGAGTCTAAGTTGCCTAAGCTGGCCTTCAACTCACTCTATAGCCCTGTCAGTCCTTGAACTTGTGATCCTTCTACCTCCATCTCTTGGATGGCTGGGATGGCAGGCCTGAATCACCGGGTCCAGCATGCACCTGCTTTGTTTTGTCCCACCTGTCCCCTCCCAGATATCACGTGTTCAGGTACTATGTCAGCATAACAGTAAGGAGTGTTGTTCCCAAATTTTTACATTGCAGGGAGGTGGCTGCAAGTAGGCAATGAAGTCCAACCTAAGACAGTGTGAAGCCTCTAGTGCTGACCATCTGCTTCACCAAGCAGAGAGGACCCCAAGGCTAAGGCAGGCCTCTAGCCACAACCGTGCTCTTAGCCAGAGAAGCTCCCAAGATACACAGTTCAGGAAGATGTAATCTTTAATTCCAAAACTCAGAAAGGACCCAAAGGCAAGTGAATCTCTGTGAGTTCAAGGACAGCCAAGTCTACATAGTGAGTTCCATGCCAACCTACAGCTATGTAGTGAGACTCTGTCTCAAAATAAACAAAGAAAAAATTATATAGTTCAATTCAGTGCAAAAGTCCTCATGTTCCTTGTTCAGACGTGACTTTGAAGTTCACTATTCTCAGAGTTCACTAGTTGAAAAATGGTTGTAAAAGTGGGGCAAACTTAGTTTACTGTCTCCACCTATATGGGATTCTTTTTCTTTTTTCTTTTTTAGTTTTTGCAAAATAGGGTTCCTCTGTAGCTTTCGAGGCTGTCCTGGAACTCATTCTGTAGACCAGGCTGGCCTCGAACTCACAGAGATCCACCTGCCTCTCCCTCCTGAGAGCTGGGATTAAAGGCATGCACCACCGCCACCCGACTAGATGGGATTCTTTTAAGTGACATTTATTTCATTATTGGGGGGCAGGTTCCACAGTGTGTGGGTCTCAAAGGACAACTTCATGGAGTCAGTTTTCTCCTTCCACTATGGGTGTCTTGGGGATCAAATTCATATCATTGGGCTTAGTGGCAAATGCCTTTACCAGCTGAGCCATTTAGCCTGCCTCAGAGATGGTTCTGAGGAGGTAGAGTGCTTGCTTAAGGAAGTCCCAAGACCACGTGAAAAAAACAGGTGAATTAAGAGTTTTGAAACAACAGTCTAATCAGCAACACACATGCGCTTGGTAGTAATTTTAAAATAAGTATAATAAAAGATACAAGATGTTAAACACACTAAACATGCATATTTAAGTATAGAGACAAAGGAAATTTTTATTTCAAAACGAAAGCTTAACCACTATAAATATGAATGACTACAAGAGTCCATTTGTGCTATTACTATTCCTATTTTATTAATTACGTACATTTCAGATATTTAAATACAACCTATCAGTTGTTCATGGTTCTTTTAGCCCCTCATCTCATGCCTGTACAATGACTGGGCACAACATGGCAGTGTTGATGATCATCCAGAGCACATATATCTAAAACATGAGAGAAGGTTCAGTGGTTAAGGGCATGTACTGAGGGCTCAGCGGTTAAGGGCACTCACTACTCTTCCAGAGGACCCTGGTTCAGTTCCCAGCACCCACAAAGGCACCCCACAACTGTCTGTAACTCCAGTTCCAGGGACTCTGAGGTTAAATAAAGAATATACTTTAAAAAAGAAAAACTAAGCCGGGCGTTGGTGGTGGCACACGCCTTTAATCCCAGCTCTCAGGAGGCAGAGGCAGGCAAATCTCTGTGAGTTTGAGGCCAGCATGGTCTACAGAGCGAGTTCCAGGACAGCCTCCAAAACAAAAAAACAAGGAGAAGAGGTGGAGGAGGAGGAGGAGGAGGAGGATGAAAGCTGAAAAGGATATTTATAGACTTACTCACAAAATGCTAACTACAGAGAAGAAGCCTAGTTTATTGTCTTCTGATTATGTACAGGACTATGTAGCTGCATGTAGGTGTGTGCCCATGGACACAGGCCAGAAGAGTCAGATTCCAAGGAGCTGGAATTACAGACGGTTGTGAGCTGCCTGATGTGTGAACCAACTCAGGTCTTCCGCAAGAGCAGTAGCAAGTTCTCTTAACCACTGAGCCATCTGCCCTCAGTCGCCCTAAAGAGAAGAGCTACAGCTTTGCAGTCATCGGGTAGCTTTAGAATAAATGATCAAAGTTAACAGCACTAACAAGGGATAAACCGGAATCACATGTCTCTTCCTAAGCCACAACAAGGACTCATCTTCTTTGTAGTATTTCTTGCCAAAAAAATGAATTTAGTCATTAGGAAACATCAAACTACATAAAATAAGTCTGTAAGATAACTGCTGGGTATTCAAAAGTACCAAGACCAATCGAGGTGCAGGGGACAGGTCTGTTGATCCCTGACCTGTGGTGAGAGGACTGCCAGTTTGCGACCAGCCTGGGCTACACAGTTTCAGGTCATCTTGGACTACACAGAAAGTCTGTCTCAGAGCAAAACCAGGTATGGTGGTATGTAACTATACTTACAGCACTCTGGAAACAGGCAGAAGAATCAGTTCAAAGTCATCCTGAGCTTACATTAAGTTTGAGGCCAGCTTGAGCTATAAGAGACCCTGTTACTTTTTTGGTTTTATTTTTAAATTTTTATTTATTTATTTTTAATTCTTTGAGACAGGGTTTCTCTGTGGCTTTGGAGGCTGTACTGGAACTCTAGCTCATGTAAACCAGGCTGATCTTGAACTCACAGAGATCCGCCTGCCTCTGCCTCCCAAGTGCTGGGAGTAAAGGCATGCACCACCAGTGCCTGGCCTTGTTTGTTTTAATATATAAATAAATTAAAGGAAGAGAGAACCATTAGAAGTTGTCCTATCATAGGACAGTGATGGTTCACACCTTTTATCCCAGTTCTCAGGAGGAGAGGCAGGGCCAGGCAGGCCTCTGTGAGTTCCAGGTCAGCCTGGTTGATAGAGCAAGTTCCAGGACAGCCTGGGCTGTTATACAGAGAAACCCAGTCTCAAAACACAAAAACAAAAAAAGTTGTCCCTTGACCTATACACATAAACTCTGGCACAGAAGCAAGAGGCTTATACATAAAAATGTTCACACACACACAATAAGTGTAATAAAACCTTTTTTTGAGACTCTGTCTCAAACAATAAAACTCTTTATAAAAGACTGGAAACCAGAAATGTCATTAAATGTCATGGGAGTAGACCAAAACATGTGACAATCTCAAGTGTATCTTTTTTTTTTTTTTGAGACAGGGTTTCTCTGTATTGTTTTGGAGCCTGTCCTGGAATTTGCTTGGTAGACCAGGCTGGCCTTGAACTCACAGAGCTGTGCCTGCCTTTGCTTCCCAAGTTCTGGGATTAAAGGCCTGCACCACCACCTCATAGCTTCTCAAGTGTATCTTACAGATATTACTAACAATTATGTGAAACGCCATAGATATTTTTAGTAGCAAAATATCAGAATAAATTTGGCCCAATGGGAGGTTGGTGAGATAAATTGTGATGTAGTCATTCAATGAATTATATTAAAAAACAAAACAGAAAACCAGACATTTAGCCAGATGTGATGTTGTGTGATACTCATGAGAATTTCTGGGGAGGCAGCTCAGAGGTGAAGCACTTGCCTAGCATATGCAAGCCTGATGTGGCAATATATGCCTATAATGTCTGTATTTAGGACCCACATACATGTAGCTGGAAAAATAGCTCATCGGTTAAGAGCACTGGCTGCTCTTGCAGAGATCCTGGGTTCAATGCCCAACATCCACATGGGATCTGACACCCTTTTTAGGTGTGCAGTTATCCATGCAGACAAAATACCCATAAAAATAAATAAATAAAGGGGAGGTAAGTAGGGGTAGGTAGATAGGAGTTCAAGACTAGTCTTATCTGCATAGTGAAAACTTGTCTCAAAAATAAATCACTAGCAAAAAAAGAAACCGCCAATATTTTTTTTCCTAATGTTTTGTTGTTGTTGTTTCGGGTTTTTTTTTTTTTTTTTGAGACAGGGTTTCTCTGTATTGCTTTGGAGGTTGTACTGGAACTCTCTCTATAGACCAGGCTGGTCTCGAACTCACAGAGATCCTCCTGCCTCTGCCTCCAGAGTGCTGGGATTAAAGGCCTGGGCCACGACCGCCCAGCTAACAATGTCTTAAAAAAAAAGAATATTAAGTTTTGCCAGTGTCAGCACTGAGATTTCCCGTGCAGTCTTTAACTTTCCAACATCTACCTTTCCCTTTCTCTACCTAACTTCAGAGTCACCCTCTGCCTCATTTTACCAACAGGCACATGAAACTGCATGTTCACCAAGTGGTTTATACAAGTAAATATGAGTTTTCCATTTGCCACTCATCATATATATGACCTTTGTGATGATTTTCAAATCCACAGACCTAAGAAAAAGATTTTATCAGCATAATTACTACAGCCAGAATAGCTGAAGTTTGGGAATAGCTAAATGTCAGCCAGATGAGTACTTAGTTCTATCTTCCTTTTTTAAATTTTCTGTGCTGACATCACATATAATGCCTTTGCACCTGCTAAGTCAGTGCTCACCCACTGAGCCTCACGGTTTTTTATATGTTTGCTTGATTTTTTTTTTTTTCAGACAGAGCTTCTCTGTGTAGCCCTGGCTGTCCTGGAACTCATTCTGTAGACCAGGCTGGCCTCAAACTCACATACATCTGCCTGCCTTTGCCTCCTGAGCCCTGGGATTAAGAGCATGCACCATCACCACCCTGCTCTTTTTTTCTTTTTTGAGACAGGGTCTCACTGTGTAGCCATGACTGGCCTGGAACTTGCTCTGTAGGTCAGGTTTGTCTTGAATTCACATTGATCCAAATGGCTGCCTGCCTAGTGCTGGGATTAAAGATGTGTACCACTATGCCTGGCTTTGTTTCATTCTTGCAATATTAGACAGATGTTGAGGAGAATGAGTGCTTATTATTTCAATCAAAATGGGAAAACCTTCGAGGCCAGCCTGGTCTACAGAGCAAGTTCCAGGACAGCCTCCAAAACAATACAGAGAAACCCTGTCTCGAAAAACCAAAAAAAAAAAAAAAAAAAAAAAGGGAAAACCTCCAGTATAGACCAGCATAATATATCCAGTGGTATTATGAATTGTCATCTGTGTGGAGAAGTAATACCTATTGATATACATGTTTATATATAAAGTTAGGTAAAGGTCTAAAATTGAGCACATATTAAGTATACCTAAGTGCTCAGGGAAAGCATCCATACACATAACATTGTTTGTTTTTTTTTTTTTTTTAAAGTTAAAGGGGGGGCTGGAGATATGGTTCAGTGGTTAAGACCACACACACAGCCGGGCGTTGGTGGCGCACGCCTTTAATCCCAGCACTCGGGAGGCTCTCCAAAAACAAAAAGACCACACACACACACACACACACACACACACACACACGCTGTTCTTATAGAGAACCTGGGTCAAATTCCCAGTACCCACATGGCAGCATATAACTCTAGTTTCGGGGGATCTGATGCCTTCACATGAAATAGTTTTTTAAATTATTATTATTATTTGATTTTTCGAGAAAGGATTTCTCTGTGGCTTTGGAGGCTGTCCTGGAAATAGCTTTTGCAGACCAGGCTGGTCTCGAACTAACAGAGATCTGCTTGCCTCTGCCTCCCGAGTGCTACGATTAAAGGCATGCGCCACCTCTGCCCCGCAAATTATTAATTTTTAAACAGTTAAAGGAGTCCTTTCAAAGGCTGGGCACCACTGTACAACTAAGTCTGAGTTTTTAGCAGGCATACTAGATCACACCACTTTGGAGGTTAAAGCAGGATTGCTACGAGTTAGCTATCCGTCCAGGCTACAACAGTGAGTAGTTTAGCCGGGGCCAGAGTGAGACCTTGTTTCACAAACAAAAATTTGAAAAGCCGGGTGGTGGCGGCGCACGCCTTAAATCCCAGCACTATGGAGGCAGAGGCAGGCAGATCTCTGTAAATTCGAGGCTAGCCGGGTCTACGGAGCGAGTTCCAGGACAGCCAAGGCTACACAGAAAAACCCTATCTCGAAAAAACAAAAACCAACCAACCAAACCCTGGGTCCACAAATCTGCCTCAGTGACCTCGGCCCTGAAAATGGACTGACTACTGAGTCTCCTTAACGGCCATAGCACCAGTCTCGTCGCTCCTAAAGCCATCTAGAAATTTCTACCCAGCATTATACTTGTCTTCCCCGGATTTAAACCACCAGGGTACCGGGGAAGCATCCTTTCTCTGTTTTCCTACTTTTAAGGAAAAAAGAAGCAATAAAAGTCAGTCTAGGAAACCTCGCGAGAGGATGAGGGGGCCATTCCCGGAACCCAGAGTCCGGTAGCTACAGACACCCTGCAAAGCGAAGCCCATGCCTCTGCTTCCTGTCACACCCAGACGAGTGCTGAGGCTGAAGCATCCTTCACACACGACCTAAAGGACTTCGCTGCACAGCAGGCCACACAACCTCCACGATTCGGTCCTTAAGACGCGGATCAGCAACAACGTGCGGGCGACGGAAACGGAACCTTAAGATTCGGAGTGCCGATTGCCAGAGAACAAGTTTCCCGGATGCGCCAAGACGCCGCAACCGGGCGTGGCGGGCGGAGCCTCGAGAGACTAGCGTCCGTCCCAGCCAATCAGCGAGCACCGGCGGAGCCGTAGTCCAATGGAGGTGCCCTGTGGGCACGCCGGGGGCGGGCCAGCTGCGTAAGACTTTTCGAGAAGACCCGCATAGAGCACGTTGTTCTCGGCCTCTCCCTGAGCTAGGCCGGCCATGGCGGCGGTGAAGAGCCTAAACCCTAAAGCCGAGGTGGCCCGGGCGCAGGCAGCGTTGGCGGTGAACATCAGCGCAGCACGGGGCCTGCAGGATGTGCTGAGGACCAACTTGGGGCCTAAGGGCACCATGAAGATGTAAGACCGGCATGGCGGGAGGGCGGGCCTGGCGGGCCCATGGCCGCAAACTCGAGCCGCCGCCTCTAGGCCTTCGCTTTCTACGATGTCTGTGCGGCCTCCCATCCAAACCGCACAGTTCACGCCTTTCGGGATTGCCAGGCGGTGCCACTTCCTTTGGAGGAAGAGGGTGGCGAGTGCACCTCTCCTCTGCCCCCCCGAACTTACTAGGATGTAGTTGGAAGGTCCAAATTTTATGGGGTTTAATTTTTACTACGTTATAGCTAGCAAATTAACGTTTATTTTACGTTACTCTTACTCCCTAGGCGTTTTCACCCTTCTTGTACCCGCGTCCCCCCCCCAAAAAAAACCGCTTGCTTTCATGTCGTATATCCCATTGTTTCCTTTGTGGGACTTTTCATTATGTATTTGGGGTCTGACTGATCTGCTCTGCGTGGCCTCGAACTTACAGAGATTTCATTTGTCTCGAAGAGAGAGAGAAATACGCACTTCCCTTTGGCTTCTTTATGGAATTCTTAGTTGGGGTTTCCATTGAAAACCGTCACATTGTTGCTTATCAGTTTTTCTGCCCATTTGACAGGCTTGTTTCTGGTGCTGGAGACATCAAGCTTACTAAAGATGGCAATGTGCTGCTCCATGAAATGGTAAGCGGTTGCTGTGCTAGGCCGAAAAAAAAGTTTGACCTTTCTGCTAGTTTTGCCATGATCGTTATTGAGGTGGCTCATATCTTTCAAACGGAAGTGTAGAAAATAGCGTTTTGGGTGGAGAACTCTGAGTCTGACAACATGTATTTAAATCCCTGCTTGGGCAGGGGACTGCTTTTCATTTTTTATTTTTCAAAGGCTGGGTGGGGGTGGTATGCTTTAATCCCAGCACTCCGGAGGTGGGGCAGGTGGTTCTTTGTGAGTTCGAGTCCAGCCTGGTCTGCAAAGCAATTTCCAGGACAGCCAGTGCTGTTACACAGAGAAACCCTGTCTTGAAAAACCAAAGACAAAAATCAAAGCCAGGCAGGGCTACATAAGTGAGACCCTGTCTCGAAAACAGGGCAACTGGGAAAACAAAAAGCAACCCTCATCTTTCTACCCAATTACTGGAGAAATGAATGTTTTCTTACATCACATAACCTGCTTCTGCCTCCTAAATGCTGCAGGTTAAAACTGTACACATTCACACCTGGCTAACTATATTTTTTGTAAGTTATTGTTTTTGTCCCAGGAGTCAAATGAAACTGGTCCAGGCACCCATTTGCTTACCAGAACTTTCAGTCCAGCAGTTTAAATCCCAGAAAAGAAAATGACTTATAAATCCAAGCAAAATGTAGCCAAGCTGGACACTTTATGTAGATGGCTTTAAAAGGAACCTTAGCTAATGGTTTAAGTCATTTAAACGGTTCTTTTTCTACTTTCAGCAAATTCAACACCCAACCGCCTCTTTAATAGCAAAAGTAGCTACAGCCCAGGATGACATAACTGGTGATGGTACTACATCCAATGTCCTTATCATTGGGGAGCTGCTAAAACAGGCAGACCTCTACATTTCCGAGGTACGCACAGTGATAAAATTGTTTCTGTGGTATGTTTGGTGGGCTCTTGGTCCGAATTGATATGATACTGCCTGACAGCACACCACAAACTCTGAGGTCAAGCTGCTAAATCTGGGAGCCTGTGCTTGTCTTTATCTTTGTTTATGAAGAAAAAGCCAACTATATATAAATGATTATCTATTTGTGTTTAACAGACTTATCTCAAGCTCACAGAGCTTTGGCTGAATCTGCTCCTCACCTGGCCTAGTCTCTGAGCTTTTTTTTTTTTTTTTAATAATATTTCAAAATAATGTGAATTAGTTGAGATTACTTGCAGACAGGATAAGCATTTTCTGACAGCAGAATTTGAGAAACTAGTTTTGGGTTTGGTATTCTGGTTTGCACAGTGAACACCCAAGTGTGCTTTGTCTGTAGTTCCCTTGGCCTTGACTCTGTGCTAGAGTAAAGTCTGTTCTTTTCCTCTGCATTGAAAGGAGTACTGTGTCCTTTTAAATGTATTCAGAAAATCAGCACATCATGTTAGCTTAAGTAAGTATGGACACCCAAGGATGTTACTGAACTTAGTGAATTGTTGCATCTTGCTGATGATGCAAACGTTGGCAGTGGTTTTGTAACTGTTTTGGTTATAGGGTCTTCATCCCAGGATAATAACTGAAGGTTTTGAAGCTGCAAAGGAAAAAGCACTCCAGTTTTTGGAACAAGTCAAAGTAAGCAAAGAGATGGACAGAGAAACACTCATCGATGTGGCCAGAACATCTCTTCGAACTAAAGTTCATGCTGAACTTGCGGATGTCTTAACAGAGGTTTGTGGTGCAATGCACAGGGCAAATCTTCCATAAACATCTGTTCTTAAAGGTGTTGCATGCATAGGGTCTTCACAGGAATGCTGTGAAAAGTGAGGGGTTATGGGTTTTCCCTAGGCAGTAATAAACTAATCTGTCTTCAGGGTGTGAAGAATAAATTGTTACCAGGCCAGCCAGGTTTTACAAGAATGATTGAAACTTTCATAGAAGGATTATGAAGTGTAGACTGAGTTTTTGGAAACCCTGTAGTCAAAGGTGGTCCCCCTCTTATGGGAACTGGTAATTTGGTATGTGTCATGGTTTAATCAGGGTAATTAATAATTCTCTAACACTTTGTTTTTGAGACTTTCAAATTTGTCTGCTAGTTCTGAGTAAATTAGAAATTTATTATAAAAGTGTTTCAGCTTCTCAAAATTAATTTAATGGTTATCTAATAGGCCGTAGTGGACTCCATTTTGGCTATTAAGAAAGCAGATGAACCCATTGACCTCTTCATGGTTGAGATCATGGAGATGAAACATAAATCTGAAACTGATACAAGGTAGGTGACAGAATGTTTTGGGATTTTTTTTCTACAGCAGAGCTTCTCCCTAGCCTGAGACAAGTTCATATTAGATTAGTTACTGGCTGTGATATTTATTCTAAGTGGTATGCATTGCTGAAATGAGGGAGCACTGTGCTGTGTTTGTGGTCAGTGTAATTGTAAAACGTGAATATTAGTGAGCATTTATTTATGTGCTTGACTATACTGCATAATGGGAAGGCTGCTGGTTAATTAAAGATTCCAGTTTTAAAATGTTTCTTGAAGGGAATTAAAGTAATCACAGTTTCATAGCCTACTGGTTATACAAGCTGTAGTTTTTCCTAAGGTAGAAGAAGGGGTTTTTTTTTGTTTTGGGTTTTTTTGTTTTTTGTTTTTGTTTGTTTTGGAGGCTGTCGGTCCAGCCTGGCCTCGAACTTACAGAGATCTGCCTGCCTCTGCCTCCCGAGTGCTGGGATTAAAGGCGTGCGCCACCACTGCCTGGCTGAAGGTTGTTATTTTTGTGTGGGCGCTTGTCTTGTATCTTACTTAGAGCATTGCCTTTTTTCACATCTGGCCTTAAAAATAACTGAAGTTTTCAAACTGTTTTTGGAATTGGTGGACTTGTATGAAAATTATCGATGTACCAGTTAATTGTTCTTATTTTATTAGTGTGTGTCACTCCTGTCTGGTATATATAAATAGGGGTAGTATCAATTTGCCTGTTTTTATAGCTTAATCAGAGGGCTTGTTTTGGATCATGGAGCACGGCATCCTGATATGAAGAAAAGAGTAGAAAATGCCTACATCCTCACATGCAACGTGTCCTTGGAATATGAGAAAACGTGAGTTTGTAACAGAACAAACCCTCAGGGTAGTAGGATGTTGGCATGGGGACTTGGGTTATATGTAGCTTGGTCTTAGAGCACATGGACTAGAATGTGCCCAGCCTAATGCAGTCCCCTGACTGCCATTACAACTAAGCTAAAAATGGAAATCTTCCCCATTTCTGTGACTTTTTTTTTTTTTTTTCTCTTTTTTTGGTTTTTCGAGACAGGGTTTCTCTGTGGCTTTGGAGGCTGTCCTAGAACTAGCTCCTGTAGACCAGGCTGACCTCGAACTCACAGAGATCCTCCTGCCTCTGCCACCCTGGTGCTGGGATTAAAGCTTCTTTCTTTCTTTTTCTTTTTCTTTTTTTTTTTAGAGAAGTGAATTCTGGGTTTTTTTACAAGAGTGCAGAAGAGCGAGAAAAACTAGTAAAGGCTGAAAGAAAATTCATTGAAGATAGAGTTAAAAAGATAGTAGAACTGAAGAAGAAAGTCTGTGGTGATTCAGATAAAGGATTTGTTGTTGTTAACCAAAAGGTAAGAATTTAAAGTTTTGAACTAGTCTTGTTTGTTTTCAAGGTGAAGGCTACTGAAAATGTTTTGTATTTTATTCAGGGGATTGATCCCTTTTCCTTGGATGCCCTTGCAAAAGAAGGCATTGTGGCTCTGCGCAGGGCCAAGAGGAGAAACATGGAGAGGTGAGTGGGGCCAACTTCACGATTTGCAAGGGACTTAGGATTCTTCCTTTTGTTCTTCTGCTTGTTTTTCCATTTTATTGGGCATATTAGCTGAACAAAATTGATGTTTTTATATGCTTTGATCATTTTCACACACTTTCCCCTGTTGCTCTCTCTCTTTTTTTTCCTCGATGGAGTTTCTCTGGGTAGCTTTGGAGGCTGTCCTGGCACTCCTTCTCTGTTGACCAGGCTGGCCTTGACCTCTATAGTTCCACCTGCCTCTGCCTCCTGAGTGCTGGGATAAGAGGCGTGTGTCACGAATGCCCAGCCCCTTGCTCCTTTTGTTTCCATCCCTATTACTGGTTGCTCTTTCCAAATAGTGTAGTTTTGTTTCCTTTAGAAAAAAATTGGCCTACATAAAGCATATTTTGCTTTTACAAATATTCTCTATTTTGGCAAGCTAAAATCTGCCTTTTTAACCCTTTGCTGGGTATGAGTTCAGGCTTGTGTATGCCACAGCACGTAGGTGTAAGTCCGATGGAGTCAGTTCTCTCCTAACATGTTGATCCTAGGTTGAAGGGCTTAATCTTTAGCTTGAGGTCCTATAACAGGCCCCCAAATTTAGCATTTAACTTCATTGTTCCTCAGCTTCCCAAGTACTCCATTATAGATAAGTACCAATAGGGCCAGCTTGTATTTTAACCTCTTCAAAAGTGCAGGGTCCCTAGTCTAGAGGCAACATCAGGAGAATAGTGTGTTAAGGTATGAGTGCATGCAAACCTGTAATGCTGTCACTTGGGGCAAGGAGGCAGCATGTCAGCCTGAATACATACCTCAACTGAACATTCAAAATTGAGGAGAGGAGATTCCTAAGAAATATTCCCACACAGAAACTGTTCGTTTCCTTGTATTGTGATGGCCTTGGCGAGGAGGTTTAAGTGGAGAATTGAAGCTCGGTTACCAACTGATTTATGATGAATGGCAAGAGCTTTGGTTTAAGATACACTACCTCCAGGACAGCCAGGGCTGTTACACAGAGAAATCCTGTCCTGGAAAACCTAAATAAATACATAAAAATGCAGTTTCATCATGGGCTGGAGGAAGTGGTTAAGAGCACTGGTTGTCCTTCAGGCAGACCTGGTCTCAATTCCTATCACCCACGTGAGTGGTGACGCACACCTTTTAGTTCCAGTACTCAGGAGGCAGGTGGATCTCTGCTAGTTTAGCCCAGCCAGGACTGTTACACAAAGAAACCCTATCTCAGAAAAAAACCAAAACTTTGATCATGTCATTCTGAAAACCACCTTCCTAAAGATTGTTGTCTTATTGAGCATAACCAGCATGGCTTACTAAGTTTTCACATAATGTGCTTCACTGTTACAGGCTGACGCTTGCTTGTGGTGGTATAGCTCTAAATTCCTTAGATGACCTGAATCCTGACTGTTTGGGACATGCAGGTCTTGTCTATGAGTATACGCTGGTAAGTGTGTTCTCCTAAAAACAATAGTATTTTGTTTAGCAGTGGTTGAATAGGAAATTTCAAACTCACATGTTTTTAACAAGTTTTTGTTTGATTTTTGAGACAGGGTTTCTCTGTAGCAGCTCTGGCTGTCCTACGACTCTGTCAGCAAAGATGGCCTCAAACTTAGAGGCCCACCTACCTCTGTCTCCTGAGTGCTGGGATTAAATTTTATGTATTTATTTTGAGACAGGGTATTGCTATATTGTCTGGGCTGGCCTGTGTGGTTTCTCGAGACAGGGTTTCCTGGCCAGCCTGGTCTACAGAGTGACTTCTAGGGCATGCTCCTAAGCTACACAGAGAACCACTGTCTTTAGAAACAAAAATGAAAAAAAGGACAGTTTCCCTGTGTCACCTTGGCTGTCCTGGAACTTGCTCTGTAGACCCGGCTGGCCTCGAATTCAGACATCCTCCTGTCTTGCCGCTTTAGTGTTGGGATTAAAGGCATTTGTCACCACTGCCCTGCTGTATAGGGCTTTCACTAAGTTTATTCCAGGTTGTTTGTGTGAGGGTTATTTACTGGACTTGGGCAATTTGATAGTGGTTCCACCATTTTTAAAAAATGGCTTCCTTATAGCCAGGGTGGTAGTGGCTCACACCTTTAATCCCAGCACTCCAACCCCCCCCTCCCAAAAAAAAGACTTCCTTGTGCATCATTTTTTTTTTTTTTTCCGAGGCAGGGTTTCTCTGTGGCTTTGGAGGCTGTCCTGGAACTCGCTTGGTAGTCCAGGCTGGTCTCAAACTCACAGAGATCCGCCTGTCTCTGCCTCCCGAGTGCTGGGATTAAAGGCGTGAGCCACCAACGCCCGGCTTCCTTGTGCATCTTCGTGCTTTATTTATGTGTAATATGAGTTGACTTTAAGTTTTTAATTTCTTTTGTACCTGATTACCCCCCCCCTTTTAAATTTTTCTTTAATGGGATGATGGCTGTTTCCTATTACACTACTTTTCGCATACCTCTCCCTATACTCCTTGGATGATACTGTGTTACGAGTTTTTGTTTTGGTGTTTTGGGTTTTTGGGGGGGGGGTTCGAGACAGGGTTTTTCTGTGGCACTTTGGAAGCTGTCGTGGAACTAGTTCTTGTAGACCAGGCTGGTCTTGAACACAGAGATCTCTCTGCCTTCTGAGTACTGGGATTAAAGGCGTGTGCCACCAACGCCCAGTGTAGGTTGGTGGCGCACATCCTAGCACTCGGAAGTCAGAGGCAGGCGAATCTCTGAGTTCAAGGCCAGCCTAGTCTACAAAGCGAGTGCCAGGATAGGCTCCAAAGCTACACAGAAAAGCCCTTTCTCAAAAAAACCAGAAAAAAAAAGGTTTTACTATATATCCTTGGGTGTGTAAGAACTCACAGCCTCTGTCTTTCAAGTTCAGGGATATGGGTATGCATTACCATGTCCCGGGGGTAACCTGTTTTGACAATAATTCTCTTCTCCCAGGGCGAAGAGAAATTCACCTTTATTGAGAAATGTAACAATCCCCGTTCTGTCACATTACTGGTTAAAGGACCGAACAAGCACACACTGACTCAAATCAAGGATGCGATAAGAGATGGCTTGAGGGCTGTCAAGAACGCTATTGATGATGGTAAGCGCCACACTATACTGGACTTGTATTCTTGTTAGTCTTAAAGGCATGGCTGAATACTGTGTTCTTTAGTCTGTAATTTACACAGCCAGACACCATGCAAAAGTAAAGTCTTCCTTTTAAAATGATTGGTATGCTGTTTTTTATGGTGTATCATTACTAAAAGTGAGTACAAATGAGCGATTGAAGCTGGTGGCTCTTGAGCTACCGATTGGAACATTTTGTTCTTCGTTGTGGTTGCTTATATTGTTGTTCAAGGGGCAAGTCTGTGTTGGGGTGTTGCTGTTGGTAAGACACCTGCCTAGCATGTGAGACCCACATTTCCATCTCTAGTACTGTAACATATAAATGCCTATAACTAATCACAGGCCTAGTGAATTCATAAGAAGTTAAATAATGTTCTGAAATTTTATTTTGTATTTGCTGAGTTTTGTTTCTTTCTCTGTGACTTCTTCCCTGTCCACAGGCTGTATTGTCCCAGGCGCTGGTGCAATAGAAGTGGCAATGGCTGAAGCTCTGATTAAATACAAGCCCAGCGTGAAAGGCAGGGCTCAGCTTGGAGTCCAGGCATTTGCAGATGCCTTGCTCATTATTCCCAAGGTTTGAATATTTACCTTCATTTTCCTTGCTGACAGCCTTTCCAAAACTATGTCAACCCAGGCAGGGTGGCACATGCCTTTAGTCTTGGCACCTGTGAGGCAGAGGCAGGGTGATCGTTTGTAACAAGATAGTCTCCCTCAGTCCTGGGTGGGTAAAATTTAGAACACCCACCCTACCACACCCCAGGATAGGCAAGCTGTAAATCTCCTCAGCTATACAGAAGAGAATGGGGGGGCAGTATGGAGGTCGGTCACAAAGTGAAGACTAGCAGCCGTATATAGCAAGGCAAGAGGCAAGGTGGACAGATAACAGCTGTGTGGCACCAGCCCAGTAAACCATTGCCTGTATGGGTTGCTCAAGGATGAACTTGCTTTTTTCACTTAGTAAAACTAATGGACTTGTCATTCTCTGTGAGGTACTCCATAAGGGTGAGGGCTTATGACCAGTGCTTTTTGAGTGTGGGGGGTGGGTATTAGAGTCAGTCAACAACACATGTCTATTCTCTGGAAGAGAACATGAATAATAAATGGTTCTATCTCAATGCATGCAAACCACCACCCCCAATTTTTTTTTTAAATACTGTAGGTTTCACATTCACTTTTCAGTTCGTCTCTTAAAGAATTAAATTTGTTTGCTAGGTTCTTGCACAGAACTCTGGTTTTGACCTTCAGGAAACATTAGTTAAAGTTCAAGCTGAACATTCAGAATCGGGTCAACTTGTTGGTGTGGACTTGAACACAGGTAAGAGTGTACCTTCTTTGTGGGTAGAGCTAGATTAGATGGCGTGAAGCTGGGCAAAGTGAAAACGAGTGGGGGATCTTGCTGTGCTTCTCTGGTTTGGTGTCAGTGCTGTCCTTCTAAGTTAATGTGACACCTGACTGGACTAACTACATGGAGATTCATTCAGGCATGGATGTTTTAAATGGTGAAGTAAAGCTAGCAGCATAATTGTATCCCTGCTTTTTAGCCCCTATAACACAAATGGACAGTATAAAGCAGAAGGCCTATTGTCCATACTCTCACTGAGTTGATAGAAGAGATTTCTGGGGGCTGGAAAGATGGCTCAGAAGTTAAGAGCACTGACTGACTGTTCTTCCAACGGTCCCGAGTTCAATTCCCAGCAACCACACAGTGGCTCACAACCATCTATAATGAGATCTGGTGCCCTCTTTTCAGACATACAGGCAGGCAGAATACTATATGCATAATAAATAAATAAACCTTTAAAAAAAGAGATTTCTGGAAGGAGGAGAGTCAACAGTAATGTGTCCAGGACAGAGGGTGTCCAAACACTTGCCAAGCAGCTAGTGCTATATGATGACTCTGAAACAAGATGAACCACACGGCCACAATTCTGGAAAGGAGCAGTGACTGGAGGACTGCTAGTTACTCATGGATGAGTAGTCAATGATAACCAGTACTGTTGCTTTATATTTTTAAAGATTTGAGGTTGTCTTTGACTGCGCTGTCTAAAGTAGTCCAAATTGGTCCTTGTCTTCTGTTCTAGCATTGGCAGGGTTTGTTCATAAATAGGATGATTTCTTGAAAGAGGCATTTGATGTGGCTGGAGAAAGATGGTTAAGAGCACTGGCTACTTTTCCAGAGGATCTGGGTTCCAGTTCTAGACTACCACATGGTCTTATACTTCAGTTCTGGGGTGTCTGATACCCTCAAACAGACATACATGCAGTTAAAAGACCATATAAAATAAGAAATTAAAAAGAAAGGGCCATCTGATAATGGTGTGATTTCAAGGTGTGGTGTTTGTTTATTTTTCAGGGGAGCCAATGGTAGCGGCAGAGAGGGGTGTGTGGGATAACTACTGTGTGAAGAAGCAGCTGCTTCACTCCTGGTGAGTGGAAACTTGGGCTGGCTCTTGTTGTCTAGTTGGACAAGCTGAAATCATGTTAGTTCTGAGCTGTCTTCCTTTCCCTTCCAGTACTGTGATTGCCACCAACATTCTCCTGGTTGACGAGATCATGAGAGCGGGAATGTCCTCTCTGAAAGGCTGAGGAAGCCCCTTGTCACTGCATCTGTAGTACTACAGAATGGTGTGGAGAAATGGTCGTTTTTGTCCAAATGATTTGGAAAAGAATTTCCTCTTCCCGGTTGAAGAAAAGGAACAAGACATTTGCATCTATTCAAATTATAATACTGAAAAAAAAGCTGCGCTGAGTGTATGCTTATGCTCATAAAGAGAGTCCTTTTTAATCCACTGAACATGTTTTAGCTACAGCAACACAAAAAATTACATATTAAGATGAACGTGTTGTCTACCTTGTTCCTTAAATGTTCTTCAAAAAATTGTGATGGTTTTTTTTCTTAACAGCATGGTGGTGCTTGTCTGTAAGCCTAGAACTGTGGAAAAAGGGTTCAGAAGTTCTGTCCCACACAGGCTACAGGAGACCCTTGAGCTCAAAAGAATTTTTTCCCTCATGTTTGTATTTTAAATTAGACAGCTAACTCCCTGTTAAACACGTAGGATTCTTGCAAGTGCAAAACACATCTGGGTAATTTATGGTTTTCATGGTGTCTCTAATAAATACTTAAAAGTGTACTGCTCATTCACACTCTTGAAATAACTGCTAAAAAAATGCTTCCCTGGAGAAACTAACGAGGTTATCAGATGGAGGCTGGGGAAATGAGAGCACAACAGTTAAAAGAATAAGGACTTCAGTGAAACACAGTATTTTTAGGCTATTTCCAAACTTTAAATTTTTACATCGTGCCTACCAACAAGCTTAGTTGTCATCTTTCTCACCTTAGGTATTCCTGGTTTCCATGTATTTGTTTATGTATGTAGGATCATGACATCTTCCCCAAGTGGAGTGTTGGGGGGGGAGTCCTCAGTATTCTACAGTGAGTGCAATAAAAAGTTGAAATTTGTGGTCTTGTGTTACATACACAGTTCAACTGAATAAAGAATGTCATGTGGGTGGGTAGATAGGTGTTTAGTAGAAGTGCTTACTGTTCATGCAGAAAGGCAGGAGTTGAGTTCCCAGCAGCCGGCCAGCGCTGTTTTTTTTGGTTTTTCGAGACAGGGTTTCTCTGTGGCTTTGGAGGCTGTCCTGGAACTAGCTCTTGTAGACCAGGCTGGCCTCGAACTCACAGAGATCCGCCTGCCTCTGCCTCCCAAGTGCTGGGATTAAAGGCGTGCGCCACCAACTCCCGGCCAGTGCTGCTCTTTTTTTTTTTTTTAAAACACTTTCCCCTTTTTTTTATAAAGATTTTATTTATTACATATACACCAGATTGAATTGTAGATGGTTGTCAGCCATCATGTGGTTGCTGGGAATTGAACTCAAGACCTCTGGAAGAGCAGCAGTCAGTGCTCTTAATCTCTGAGCCATCTCTCCAGCCCCCAGCGCTGCTCTTAACCAGCTGCAATTCTGGCACTGAGTATGCACGCTACTTACATCACGTGTACAAAACTTTCGGAATAAATGAGTTCCAGTGTAAGTAGGCATGTAACCCAGTGTTTGAATTCGTGGGAGGTCCCTACAGGCGGGCGCCCATGAAGTGCCTCCTGAGTCTCCCAACAGCTCTGCCATTGGTCAAAAAGATGAGGTTGGCTTACCATCAAGCAAGTGCGCAGGCGCGAGGAAGACAGTCGGGTGACCGGCTCTGAGCTGACGCATGCGTGTTGAGTCCTGACTCCAGCATGGGTTCCTCGCTCCCTGTCTTGTCTCTGCTGTGGATCCTATCCAGTCCCAGACTTCAGCTAGGTCAGTGTGTGGCCCTGTGTCTGTTTCCCCTATCCCTGAGCACTCAAAAAAGGACTGCCCCCGCGTCGGAGGTTTTTTGCGGGATCTCGGGAGGCTTGTTGGGGCTGACCACCACGAGACTGCACACTTCGGGTTTTAAAAGCAGGGTTTCTTCTAGTACTAGTACGCAGCCCTGCCCAGGCCGATGAGTGCAGCAAGCTGGTTTTCCTGTTCTCTCTATCCCACTTCCCCATCTTGAGCCGGTGTACTCATGTGTGATACATAGCTTTTATTTGTAGAGAATTAGCTTTAAAAGCTCAAGATCACAAAGTCACATACACAAAAATTCGATGTCATTTTACCCCTTACAACTAACTGACAATATCGTCTGTTTAAGTATATCGTTTATCTCTAGATACTTTTTGAATTGAACATTTTATTTTGTTTTTACGAGTCAGGGTTTCCTCTCTGTAACAGCTCTGACTGTCCTGGAACTCACTCTGTAGAACAGGATGGCTTCAAACTCACAGAGCTTGGCCTTCCTCTGCCTCACGGGTGCTGGATTACAGGCGAGAGCCACCACCGCCCGATTCGGATTGAATGTTTTATGTGTATGAGTGCTTCGGCCTCTATGTATGTTTGTGCACCACGAGTGTGCCTGGTGCCCACGGTGGTCAGAAGAAAGTGGTAGGATCTTTGGAACTGAAGAAACACAGAAACCATGGAATGGGTGCTGGGAACTGAACATGGGGTGCTTGCAAGAGCAACAGGTGCTCTTACATGCTGAGCGGTCTCTCTAGCAACCTGCTTTATCTTTGAGGCAGAGTAACTATGTCGCCTTGTCTAGCCTGGAGCTCTGCATGTAGAGCAGGCTGACTTCGAATAGAGAGCCACCTGGGCAAGCATGGTCTCGGATGATCTACAGCTCAAGGCCTTGTTTAGGCGGGATTTGTTTAAACGTCTTGGCTATATAGCCCAAACTAGACTTGAGCTTGTGATTATCTGCCACAGGTTTCTTAGAGTTGGGATTATAGGCACAAAAAAGTGGCCTGGGTTTTATTTTGTTTGTTTTAAAACAGATTCTCACTATGTAGACCAGGCTGGCCTGAATCTCACACATGTAATCCCAGCACTTGGGAGGCAGAGATAGGCAGATCTCTGTGAGTTCAAGGCCAGCCTGGTCTACAGAACGAGTTCCAGGACAGTCTCCATAGCAATACAGAGAAACCCATGGGGGGAGGGAGCTGGACATGTTGGTACACACCTTGAGTCTAAACACTAAGGAAGCAGGAACAAATGAAACTCTGTGAGTTCTGGGTCAACCCAGTCTATATAGTGAGTTTCAGATGAGCCAGGTCTGTAGAGTAAGACTGTCTCAACAACAATAATAAACTTTAAAAAAAATGATGAGGTAAGTGGTATTTTATGGACATATATTTGCATGCATTACTCCTACCTGTCCTGTTCTGCAGGAAATGCCCAGGCACCTGCCATGGTGCAGCTGCCAGGCGGGCGATTTTTGATGGGGACAGATGCTCCTGATGGCAGAGATGGTGAAGGGCCTGCCCGGGAAGTGACAGTAAAATCCTTTGCCATTGATGTATTTCCAGTCACCAATAAAGAGTTCAGGTATTTCAAGGGTTTTTTTTTGGGGGGGGGTGGTGTTGGGGGATAAAGGTTTTTTTTTTCTCCATATATGTTTTATTTAAATTAGAAACATGAATGCTCCACATGTCAATCCCAGCTCCCTCTCTCACTCCTCCTCCCTTGTCCCTCCACCAGCCTCCCCCAGGCCCTCACCCAGTCCCCACATCATTCCCCATAGAGGGTGAGGCCCTCCTTGGGGGATCTCCAAAGTCTGTCATTTCATCCAGGGAAGGACCTAGGCCCTTCCCCATGTGTCCAGGCTGAGAGAGCATCCCTCCATTTGGAATGGGCTCCCAAAAATCATTCGTGAACACTGATCTACTGCCCAAGGCCCCAGTGATTTCTGTGGCCTCCTCACTGACACTACATTCATGGAGTCTGGATCAGTCCCCTGTTGGACTCTCAGCCATCAGTCTGGGATTCAAGAGCTCCCCCTTATCTGGTCAGCTGTCTTTGTGGGGGGATAAAGGTTCTTTCTTACCTTATCTAATTCTAATCTTCACTCTTAATATTCCTGTCTCAAAAATTAAAAAAAAAAAAAACCTTGATACAAGATATAGCTGTAAGATGTTAATTAGAAAGCGGAGTGGTGGTGGCTGGATTCACACTACAGTGGCGCACACCTTTGGTCCCAGCACTCAGGAGGCAGAGGCAGGTGGACTTCTGAGTTTGAGTTCAGCCTGGTCTACAGAGTGAGTTCCAGGACAGCCAGGGCCACACAACACAGTGAAACCCTGTTTCCAAAAATGAAAAAAAGAAAGAAAAGGTGCTAAATATGAAAGTATCCTACAGGCTGGAGAGATGACTCAGTGGTTAAGAACACTGACTGCTCTTCTAGAGGACCTGGGTTCAATTCCCAGCACCCACATGGCAGCTCACAACTGTCTGTAATTCCAGTTCCAGGGAACCCAACACCCATGGCAAAACACCAATGCACATAAAATAAAAATAAAGTTTAAAAAGAAGAAAAGTTATCTTACAAATCATAAAAGATATCGTCTCAGTACTTATTTATTTATATTTATGGTTGTTTCAAGACAGGGTTTCTCTGTGGCTTTGGAGGCTGTCCTGGAACTAGCTCTTGCAAACCAGGCTGGTCTCGAACTCACAGTGATCCACCTGCCTCTGCTTCCCGAGTGCTGGGATTAAAGGCGTGTGCCACCAACGCCCAGCAGCAGGATTTTTTTTTTACTAATGCATATTCTAATTTTGTAGAAAATCTGGTCAGGTGTGTTAGAAACAAAGAATAATCTTAGTGTTGCACAAACACACAAATTTAAAGGAGCTTGGCAGGGTAATTCTTTTTGTAAAAAAGGGCTCACAAGCCCCAAAACCAGACTGGCAAACACACTTGACCAAGATTGTTTTTTATCTTTTATCTCTGATGTTCGTAGTGACTGCATCTGCTTTGTAGGAGCTTGTGAAAATTCTTTCAGGACTGGACACAAGGCTTCCTGGGGCAGGGGATGGTAGGGATGGATGGGTGTGGAACCCTAGCCACTGAGCCAAGTGAATGCTCTCTTCCCAGGGAGTTTGTCCGGGAGAAAAAGTACCGGACTGAGGCTGAGACATTCGGGTGGAGCTTCGTCTTCGAGGATTTTGTCTCCCCAGAGCTTAGAAATCAAGCAAATCAGATGCCGGTGAGAGAGCCTGGATGGGGAGACGGGGGAGGAGGGGAACCTGGGCAGTCATCTGAGGGGGGGTCCCCTGGGGTGTCATGGAGGATCAGACTTGGGACGCGAGTGGAAGCCAGAGAGAATATACAGTGCTTGGTTAGGTTAACCTCAGCAACCAGGATGGTAACCGCCAGGCCTGGTGATGAATGCCTGGAAGCCCAGGTCCTTGGGAGGCTGAGGCAGGGTAGCAAGGCCAGTGCCAGCCTGAGCAGTTCAGGAAGACCCTGTCTCAAATGGACTCTTTAAAAGGGGGCTAAGTGTAGCTCAGTGGCAGAGGGCTTGCCTACTGTCATGTTCAAAGCTGTAGGTTCAGTCCCCAGTACTGGGGGCATGGGGGAGGACGGAAGCTGGAAAAAGATATCCTCCTACTTTGTTGTTGTTGTTGTTGTTGTTGGGGGGTGTCTGTTTGTTTTAAGACATTGTCTCACGATGTAGACCCTGGAACTTGGCCTGGAGCTCACGATGTAGACCAGGTTTGTCTTGAACTCACAGAGGTCCTCCTGCCTCTGCCTCCTAAGTGCTGGATTATGGGCGTGTACCACCATGTCCAGCATCACTCTACTATTTTGAGACTCGTTACATAACCCAGTCTCGCACTATAAGCAAAGGTGACCTTAAACACTGGGTCCTCTTGCCTCTGCCTCCTCAGCACTGAGATTACAGGTGTGTGCTGTTGTGCTGGGTTTATGTGCTGCTGGTGCCCAAACCCAGGACTTCATGCATGCTGGGCGAGCACTTTGTCAGCTGAGCTACATGCCCAACCCGAGTATGCTTTTTTAAAGATTTATTTATTTATTATGTATACAGTGTTCTGCCCAGAAAAGGGCACCAGATCTCATTACAGATGGTTGTGAGCCACCATGTGGTTGCTGGGAATTGAACTCAGGTCTTCTGGAAGAGCAGCCAGTAAGTACTCTTAACCTCTGAGTCGTCTCTCCAGCTCCCTAACCCCAGAGTATCATTTGAAATAGATTCCATCCATATCCAGGTGTTGTTGAGCATACATTCAATTCCAGACTCAGTGTCCCCGAGTTTGTGGCCAGCCTGATCTACGTAGTGAGTGCCAGCCAGTTCCAGGCCATCCAAGGCTACATAATGAAACCTGCCCCCCAAAACAAAAAAAGATTCTATCCTCAGCCCAGTCTGTGTTTCATCTCCAGTCCAGAAGGGCCCGGGCGTTGGTGGCGCACGCCTTTAATCCCAGCACTTGGGAGGCAGAGGCAGGCGGATCTCTGTGAGTTCGAGGCCAGCCTGGTCTACAAGAGCTAGTTCCAGGACAGCCTCCAAAGCCACAGAGAAACCCTGTCTCGAAAAACAAAACAAAACAAAACAAAAAAAAAAAAAAAAAAAACCAAACAGAAGGGCCCTCTGCTGGGTCAGACTGTCTCACCCATCCTCATATTGATTTTGTCTTTGCAGTCAGTTCTCTGGTGGCAACCAGTGCAAAAGGCATTTTGGAGGCAGGTGAGTATTGGTTCCTTTGCCTCATGTTCTTCTACTGCAGTTTCATTCTGGAAATTTCGCCTCCCTGAATCCCCCAGTCCCTAAAAACACCAGGAGTACCGGGGTGCTTTTATCTGACTTGTTTTTGACACAGGGTCTCACTGTGTAACCATGGCTGACCTGGACAGGCTCTGTAGATCAGACTGGCCTCGAACTCAGATCTGCCTGTCTCTTCCTCTGAGTGCTGGGAGTCAAGGCTCGCCACCGCACCCGGACGGGGATGCTGTCTTAGGGAGTGACTAGGACATTGCAGGAGTAACCCTGTTCCCTCTGCTCTGATTCTGTTCCACGTTTCCTGCTGCTCTCTTTACTGAAGAATCTTTTTGTCTCCCTCCTCCCTTCTCTCATGGCATCTCACTCTGTAGCCCAGTTCCTCTCTCCTCAACCTCCTGAGTGCTGGAATGACAGGTGTGTGCAACCACTGTTCTCCTTGTCTCTTCTGTGTTTCTAACTCACCGAGCCATCTTTTTTTGTTTTGTTTTCGTTTTTGTTTTTCGAGACAGGGTTTCTCTGTATTGTTTCGGGGCCTGTCCTAGAACTCTCTCGGTAGACCAGGCGTGGTCTCGAACTCACAGAGATCCACTTGCCTCTGCCTCCCGAGTGCTGGGATTAAAGGCATGTGCCACCACCGCCCAGCTGTCACCGAGCCATCTTTCCCAATGTCCTTCCTCTACCTAGTGTAAAAGCTGAACCGAGTCACCCCAAGCCAAGCCTTTTCCAGCCTTTCCCTAGATCCC